GGGGGGGGGGGGGTAGGTCATCATTTGTACAACTCAGATGGACACTTTCCGTTTCGTGAACACTTTCTGCGGGATAATGGCGACACAGTACGGAAGGCGGTGGAACGACGGATGGGCACGGAAATTTTTGTGGTAACGTTCGCAGAGGGCTTAACAGGGCTCGATATTACAGGTGTCTCTGAAAAAGTCTTACTAATCGATTTTTCTAGTGCAGCGGCACGTTGGGAGATGGTAGGATTATATTCTCATTTCAAGCGGAATTACACAAACTAAATCGAATTAGAGCAATAGGTCGCCAGCCAGAAACTATTATTTATAAACAAATGACGATGGTAACTCACTTGAAAATTCGTTAGCAGATGAATGTAATGAATTTTCCAGTGTTTATAAGGATTACTCAATTGATTAGTAAATTTAAAAAACTAACGACGTACTAATTATGAATTCAACATTCACTTGGCGAAAAAATTTGATTTTACCAAAAGTCGACTTCCTCCCCGCCCCCAGGTGAAAAGAAAAAGTTTTTATTTCTGCATTTCTGGGGCCTCCGAGTGTTTCATTATATGGCATCAGAATCATTAGTAGATTCAAAATCAACTTTCACTCGGCCGATGACTCTACTCTACCGACACTATTTGACCGATCGCAGATCTCCATGGCTACTTTGGAAATGAATAAATGTGTTGTTCGGCGACTTTAATGAAAATCAGCCTGAACAATTTGTATTACTATTTCTATACACGTCGTTTCGATTCTCAATTGAATATACATACTCATTGTCGGTTTTTGGCATTTCATTGTAATATATATATATCATCATTAACCTAAAATTTAATCCCTAAAGCGAGCGTCAAAGTAGCTAATCATAGTTACTATCTTGATAGTAATTTTTACAAAAAATCTAAATTCATCCACAGCAACAGGATGCCAGACCATTTGGGCAATGACATGAGAAAAATCAGAGATGACGAAAAGGAAGAAAAGGAAATTAAATGTGAGTATTCGTTTGGCATTGTTAGATTTTGAATCAAAAAATTAAAATTTATATTCTATCCCAAAAAACACTAATTTAGCTCTGGACGAAGGCGATATTCAGCTATTGAAGACATATGTGAGTTGTGATTTTTCTTAAATATTTTTATGTTATATTACTAGACTACTAGACTAGATGATTTTTCATAAAAAATTTTTTTCAACAATGGTAGGGTCAAGGACAATACACAAAAAGTATTAAAACTGTTGAAGAGGATATCCAGACAATAATAAAACGAGTTAATGAATTAACTGGTATCAAAGAGTCCGATACAGGACTGGCACCACCTGCCCTATGGGATTTAGCAGCAGATAAACAGACATTACAAAATGAACAGCCGCTGCAAGTTGCACGTTGCACAAAGATTATTAATGCTGATTCAGATGATCCCAAGTATATTATTAATGTCAAACAATTTGCCAAATTTGTTGTTGATTTGGCTGATTCAGTTGCACCCACTGATATTGAAGAAGGAATGAGGGTCGGTGTTGATCGCAATAAATATCAAATACATATTCCACTACCACCAAAAATTGATTCGACAGTTACGATGATGCAAGTTGAAGAAAAACCTGATGTAACTTACAGTGATGTTGGTGGATGTAAAGAACAAATTGAGAAGCTCAGAGAAGTTGTTGAAACACCTCTGTTACATGTGAGTTTACATGTGAGATGATTGAAAATCATCAATCACCTGGATTTGTCATCTAATTGTGTAATCTCCATTGATGTTTTAGCCCGAAAAGTTCGTCAATCTTGGAATTGAACCCCCGAAAGGTGTACTGCTTTTTGGCCCTCCCGGTACGGGTAAGACTCTTTGTGCTAGAGCCGTTGCCAATAGAACTGATGCTTGTTTTATTCGCGTAATTGGTTCTGAGTTGGTTCAAAAATATGTTGGAGAGGTAAAGTGTGCAACGTCTGTTTTATATTTATTTTATCAAAAAAATTTTATGTTTTTAATGATAATTCAAAACCACCAACGTATATTCTCACTCCAGGGCGCAAGGATGGTTAGGGAGCTTTTTGAAATGGCAAGAAGCAAGAAAGCTTGCCTCATATTTTTCGACGAAATTGATGCTATTGGAGGGGCCAGATTCGATGATGGAGCCGGTGGTGATAATGAAGTTCAGCGTACAATGCTTGAACTTATTAATCAACTTGATGGGTATATATATATATATATTTTTTTTTTTGTTTTGTTTTTTCTTTCATAGAATACATTACAATTCAATTACTCATTTCAATAACAACACTTATTCAGATTTGATCCACGTGGAAATATCAAAGTTTTGATGGCCACCAATAGACCAGATACCCTAGATCCTGCACTCATGCGTCCTGGAAGACTTGATAGAAAAGTGGAATTCGGCTTACCGGACTTGGAAGGAAGAACTCACATTTTCAAAATTCATGCTCGTTCAATGAGTGTTGAGCGAGATATTCGCTTTGAATTACTTGCACGTCTTTGTCCCAATAGTACTGGTGCTGAAATCCGATCTGTTTGCACTGAGGCTGGCATGTATGCTATTCGTGCTCGACGCAAAGTTGCTACTGAAAAAGATTTCCTTGATGCCGTTGGCAAAGTTATTAAATCTTATGCTAAATTTTCAGCCACTCCTAAATACATGACTTACAATTGAATCATTTATCGTTCATTGAGAATTAGCATCATCTTTTGTATCTACTTATTATAATTTGCAAAAATGTAACAAAGAAAATACGAATGGGTGAATTCAAAATGATAAATCAAAGGAAGAATATATTGTTTATATCCACATGACTTTCTCAATACCCTGGCAACAATTAAAATGTTTAATTTTGCTGGCTGACTGGCTAGCTAGCTTCCTTCCTTCTTTTCCGCTTGTTTGTTTTGTTATTGTGGTGTCAATATATAAATGAATTTGTGGCACCTATATGTTGTAAGGAGAGAAACTTTTTTTTAATACAAACTAAATGATCTGCACTTCCTTTAGAGTGTACATCTAGTATACGTAATATTAGTGGGAAAGAAGATAATATTCCTGTTTAGTTCAATATCACTATCTGTGAATATTCCAACTCTTCGGTATTGTGCTGTCTCTTCTGAATAAGCTCGTAAAAGTGAAAGTAATTCGGCTCATTCGTAGTGGCAACAAGAGAGAAAACTATGGTGCTCGTATCGATATTTTGCCCATCTCAAAGTATTGTAAAATTATTGATTATCATTCAGAGAATTGAAGTTTATGAGAGAAGGTGATATTGCAATGGGCGGTGGAGAGGAGGGGTCATGTACGAAGAAGAAAAGCATTGTCCAAAAGAAAAAAAAAACAATGAATGGTGTATTACGAGTTTGATTCCCCTGGTGTTGAGAGACTCTCAAGTTTTCTTTCAGAGCTCGGCATCTCCCCTCTGCATTCGCAAAAAAGCAGATCGAGTCCGTTTGGGGCGGGCCCGCGTAAAAGTAGAGGGAAAGAGCGTGTGTTGTTACACTATTCGTAATCCAAGTGTGATAGCGAGGATACGTCGCGCGATACACACCTCAGTGTTTTCTTCTTAATTCTCAGCTATACAAGTGTTGTGACAAGTGAGTGCCAAGTATTGAGAGCTCTCTAAGCCGGTCCCGTTTCTTTTCTAATGTAAAACTATACACCGCTATAACACTATCAAGAAATAATAAAGAAGAAAAAAAAAATAAGAGAAATCGTCGCTGAAAATTTCAAAGAGATACCAATACTCAGTTACTTATACAAGACAATGACATTATTATAATATCAATCAAATAAATCTGTTCATATGTAAATTTCATAACGATGACGACTTTTTGGATAATACTGATTTTTAATACAATTATGGTAAGAATTATATCTATATCTACATATATACCTATATTTTTTCCATTTGATTTGCCAACTACATTTGCAAAATTTTCATCAATTTTGTTAAGCTCTTGGACATTGTGAGAATGATGCAATGCCGAATTATGGAAATAACTGGAAAACATATGAGTAATGAATATTTATGCTATTTATAATCAATTGATGGTTCTCCAATGGATACAATTCCATTGAATCATTGAATTTTTGTCAATTGGTGCATGAAAAAGATGAGACATTTCTACAAAGTTGATTTCAAGTTTAAATAATTGGCTCATTAGAGTTGATAAAATTTTGAAGAAAGGCTTCAAATTCAAATTCTACATGAGAAAACGAGTTTTCTACAAGTTACATTCTAGTTCCCTGCTTTATATTTATGTAATAAGTCAAGTTCGATGTAGACGTAACACTATTGGCATTTCGCATTGGCATTGGCTCTCACGATTATTTTCACAGTCTATGTAACCTTCATCCATAGCTATTACTTCATGCTATTATTATATACAAATAATAGTGTTTTGGAATAAAATCATTTTCATTGCTTTTGTTGATTTCACAAAATGCATAAACAGATATGTGATAACTGGTTTTTTAAATAATTATTCTTCTCCTTGCTTCGTTTCAACCCTTTTTTTTTGAAGATTATATGAAAGATAATTGTTGCAATAATTAATCACAAGTGAATTCCTTACTGAATCGTTGAGTGCATATTCATCTTCAAAAGCCGCGGTGAAGCAAGTACAAATTAAGGGAGACACACACACACACACACACACACACACGCAGGCCAATCATGACGCCACACAATCACCAATTCCAAACGAGTTGTTCACTTCCAATTACGGTTTGCTCATTTTGCCACAGCAATTCTCCGTGAGTGGGTGTAGCGGGCATGTATAATAATCATTGTTTCTATCTTGGCCATGTGTTGACTCAGACTTGGTCCAAGGAGAGCTCTATACAGCAAATTTTTTCTTTGCAAAATGGTATAAAAATCATGATAATTAATTGAATAGTGAATTTTTCAATATCATCTTCATTATAAAACTCACATTCGCTATGAATTGTACGATAGTGTATGTGTGTTTTTCTCCAATTTATACATGTACCCCCCCCCCCCCCCTCCCTCCCGCTTCAGATTCGAGATGATGATGATGATGTAGGACAAGTGTGTCGTCAACTTCTATTGAATGTATCGGGAGAGGCTATGACATGATTCACATCGATGGTCATCATTATTTGACTATTTCTATTCAGTAAGCGTTGCTTACAGTTATTATGATCTAAAATAGAAACTTACCTTCCGCTCCTACCTGTGAAAGTGAAGACCTATCATGTTTTGGGCTGATAGACACACTGATGTCAGCCGCTGATGAGCATCCACTTCTACTAGCCGTGAAATGAGGCAATTATTATCTAGAGTCTCCGGCTATACGTTAATCATCTCTGCTAATCATATTCAAATAAAATAAAAAATGATCCCCTTGACGATGAATGTTAGATTACATGATCGAATAAGCAATATGAATTTAGCTCATAATACATATCATTTATGCTTTACAACTACTACCTCTATATGAAAGCTGACCACCGCAGTCATTTGAGATTTCTTTATATGGACCTTTCAGACGCAATATAAGACTTTCTCAAACCCACGCATATGTTACTCTGACCAAGTAATATAATAAAAGCTAACAAACCAGCCGCTATATTAGGTGATTCAGCTATTGCCGAAATATTTAATCTTCATAGATGGATTATTATATTCAACTCGTAATATTCGATAATATTATAGTACGATATTTTTTGTTTTTACGAAATATGCCATCAAACCATTAGCATTTATAGGTCTCGCACCCACTAATTTTTTTCAACTTGTGTGATGTACTTGATCTCAATGGATAAATCAGTCTAACAAAGGCGAAGATCCTTGGACTCGCCCAACAACTACTTGAATAATTAATTCAAGCAATATATGTCCCTGAATAATGATTAAGTAATCATTATTTCTTTTCGTCTTTTAGATGTCAGTTTTTTGTTCGACACCAGACGAAATAGAAGCGGAAAAGAGCGGATGGAACGTTGATCCTCAAACTCAGTACCACATTCAAACCGATGAAGGCCCTGAGAGATATTTTAGGTTTCAAACTCTCAATGGGCAATTCAGAAAGGAAAAGAGACTCGAGGATGGTACGGTCGTTGGTACAGAAGGATGGTTAGATCCTCTAGGTTACTTGAGAATTAAAGATTACATTGCTGATAGTAATGGATACAGAATACTCAGGTGGGTGGCACGTGACAAAAAAATGACAATTTTTGTTGATTAGTTTACCAACAACAAGCCAACACCTTTTCATTTAATCTCTTCTTCGTTATAAATTTTTTTATTTTTTTCGATAATCAGCTATTGTATTAGATGAAAATTGTTCCGACAGATCTAAGAAGATCTTCGTTGGTAAAGATAAGCCCATTGGTGATGCAGTGGCAATCAGTCGGCGGCTTCCAGCACAAACTGGAATTTTAGTGCAATCCCGCCGGAGACCTCCTAATCCTTTTAGGTGAACAGTCTTATTCCTAATATTAATGAAAAATGAAAGCGAAAAAAAATAAAGGAAAACTTTGATATTATGTATTTTACAGACGACCCTCACATCTAGATATGTCTGATAACAGCATCGAACGGAATATAGCAATAAAACCAACGTATCGAAGTGACGTACAACGAATGGCGGTTCTACCACCAATTGCGGCTGACGAAACATACAATGAACTGGCAAAGCCCTTCAGAAATAATAATCCATCTATCTATCAACTCCAAACGCCTCGAGCACATTTTCATAAGAGCTCACATTATTCTTATCCCCAATTATCAGAGCCTACAATAGAGATAGAACAACCCCTGAATAATTATAGAAATATTTTTAACCAACCCATTGCCATAACTAGTAGATCAAAAGGAAATGCAAAAACTCGTCCTTCGGATAACTATCAATACAGAGCAGGTCAATTCAATAATAATAGTAATATAGTAGCAAAAGAGAGGAAGAGCCAAATGCAAACTGACGAGGAATTTCCTCAGTATGATGGAACTCATACTTTTTCCGATGGATTTCAATATTATTTGAATAGGCAATATCATGAAGAGGAACAAAAATCTAATGATAGAGTCGGTTCCTTTGGATATATAGATCCATTTGGTATTAGGAGAGTCATTTATTACAAAGCTGATGGGAATAATGGTTTTCTTCATAAAAAAAATAACCGTTACGTTGGCTTTGCAGCGACCCCTTATGATTCTTTACCAATCATAGCATCAAATTAAAATATAAAACATTGGATCTGAGTAAAATATTCTCTTTTATGTAATATTATTCCATTCAAATATTATTATTATTATTATTATTATTATTATTATTATTTATATATAATTATTTAACAAGAGAAAAACAAAGTACGATGTGGATGTCAATGCCAGTCGTATAACCCATGTCTCTGAAAGGGAAATGCCATATTGAAGAAGGAAAAATAATAATTATAATTTTTCTTCAGGAGATATGCATTTGATTAACTCTGAATTTATTTTTTAAACATTTAAACGTTTAGATTCACCAGCCATTAACAGGTTAGTTTGCAAAAATAAATTATCCATTTTTGACAATTAATATAAAGCATAAAAACAATTTTTTTTTCTCGAGATTATATTCATTGCCTTGATGGTCACAATACATTTTCATAATTCTACACATGCGACAAATTATAGCTTTGAAAAATGTTTGGAAAAAAATGAATTTTGGCCTCAAAGCAAATATTTTTTAGTATATCTCTGCATAAATAATTCACTCAGATGTACTATGTATTTTCTACCTCTTTTTCTATTTCATGTGACTGCATAAAATAATGATTAAAATATCCAAAATTTCTCAGTTGATCATTTTATTTATTGATTCATTTGATAAACTTATAAAAATAGTAATAATCGAATATAGCTTGAGAAAATTGGTCGATATAGATAAGTTTCGAACAATTAAAGGTCATTAACTAATAAAAGTATTCATCATGAGTAATATACTAATAATGCAAATTCCATTATTCCAATTGATATATTTGCAGTAAAAAGGTTGTAGAGAAAAAACACTATTCAATTAAATTCGTCTGTACTTCATATCAGATGAGTAATTACATAAACAGTATTATTGATTGAATTATGGTTTATTCTCTGATGTTGTTTCAAAAGAGTAGACAAAAAAAATTATTGAAAGCCATTCTCCGACATTTCCTAGTATAATATAATATTTGATAAATAATTCATAAACTGACTATGGTTATGGTTATCCAATGATACTTAAGTATTTCAAAGTGATTTTTCCTTTCAGGAGTGATAAAAGTTATAAACGATAATTTTTATTATCCTGCTGTCTATCAATCTGCTGATTGAAGGGTTGTTGAGCTTTTTGTGCGGCTTCCCGTGCAGCGGTTTCCTAGGAAATGAAAAAATTAAAATATCAAATAATGCAATTAGGTGAAATGGAAGCGAATTAAAGAGCTTTATTATTATATATTTACCTCTTGTTGACGTATTCCAGCATAAATAAGATCAAGACCCTTCTGAATTTCCTCGCTGACTGGTGGTGGAGTGGGAATATGATCGCCGGTTGCATGGAAGCCAGTTTCATCCGCAGTGTAATGAATAGTGATAATTTGACCTTCGGGACTGGTATATGAGTAACTACCCTGTTGAACAAGAGCTTCGGCCTTATTATCACCTTCGCCGATAGTTTTTACATATCCACTCTCTTCTGCAACAATGTTATTGCCAGTCTCATAACTGAAACAAACAAACAAACAAACAAACAAAACAGTTAAATAGCAAACGTCTTATTGGTGAGCTCAATTGGATTCTATATCAACTCTACCTAGTTCTATATGTTCCGTCGTGTTCTTGTTCTTTATTCCATTGCAAAATCGGCACGTATGTAGTAGTACTGAATTGTCTCTCATTATTTATTGACCTTTGATGCTCTTCTTGATACTGTCCTGATGTTGCCGGTTGTGGTGAGTGCTGTTGCCGGCCTGAATGATAATTTTGGCCAAATACTGTCCCGATAATCATTGCTAATATCTGAAATACCTCATCATCATCATTGTCATTAGTCACGATAATAAAAATACTGGACATTTAATTTAATTCGCAGCGTCGATGGGCTCTATTGAGAGAATAGTGTGTAGTGAGATCACACCGGAGATGAGTGAAAGTGAAAAGTAAAATGCCAGGCCGGGTCATTTAACTCTTGACCTGTTAACCAAATCGTCTTCACAACGCCATCATTACACATCTCATCCATTCCCTATTTTCGATAATTCGTTTTTCTTTACTTGTTTTTACTTTTTTGTCATTTTTTAAATGAATTAAAATTCTTCCTTTCGCATGAGACAACCTGTTTCTTTTTACTTGCTGTTATTCCTACTGCTAATTCGCATAGTGGAAAAAGCAGGATATCAAAAAGGAACAAATACATCATGTTAAATTATAATATCATTAATAGATTGATTATAATTCATAGAGTTTATCCATCGAAAAAACATAAATTTTATGACTTACCAAAAATTTCATATTTAACTCCTGGAGAAAAAAAAAGTGGTTATTCACTGGAGAAGTAAAAGGTGTGCAGACAGCTATACAAGCGTGAAATTATTTTTAATCTTATTGGAGTATAATCACTCAAGAAACACAAAGTACTCTGTGTCCTGCCAGAGGAAAGAAATCAGCTTTTATACGGACTCTCACTTTACCACCTCCCTCCTGAAGAGTTCATGAATTATAAACATAAATATCTATGGATTAAATGTTTTTTGGCGATTAACTCCAACTGACGATGTGCATCATAACCGTCACTAAATGAATTTCATATTCTCAATTGTTGGTAGTTTTCTATTTCTTTTTTTCTCTCCATTTTGTTTTTTCTTGTTTTTTTTTTTGCACATTAAAAATCGATATAATTGCTCAATATTTTTAAATGTGGATGCATATTTCATGCATGTTCATGTCGTCTTGACAGCATTTGACAAAAGTGTAAAATTTTGAACGCCTCGGTGGTTTATCGTATTAAGAGTATATAGGTATATATACGATACACTATTTCGTAAGATTTCATATAAATTGTATATATATATGTGAGAACATCCGAGAAGCAGTAGTGAGGAAGGCACTGTTACTTTCACATGGCCTTCGCGATTGCAGATGCATAAAATTCAGAAGTTGGTGTATCAATGACCTGTACTATGAAACTTTTCTCTTCATCTCAGACAAACCATTAACCATTTAATAACCAATTGTCGGAGAAAAAGTAGTAAAAGTAAAATGTATAGTATAGAGGCGGACTTAGGAATAAGACAAAGAAGAAATAATGCAAATAGGAGCTTTATTATGATGTCTACATCGGATCGATCGGTTTACACGGGAGAATACAATCATGCTCCATCAGTTGTTCCATTTTTCCGGGAGCTAGATAACTATATGAATATTTATGATGAATGAAGGGAAACGGTTTTTTGAACGCAAATCAAATAAATTGATACCTCAAATTGTAAGTAGTATTGTCATTAGAAGGTAGCCGCATTGGCTTTTGGTATAATGATTTTGTAGCACATGCTTTCATAATGTGAGCAGGGATTGAAGATCGATGGACAGGTTGATAACTTAGCCTCATGGTCGTCTCACTATCCGTTGGGATATCGAATGGTTGATATGTTCGAAGAGGCTTAAATGACTTGATTTGAGTGAGATTTTTCAAATCATTAGAAAAATAGGATAATCTCTGAATTGTACAACCTGTTGTTCATTGAATATATAAATCATATGTATATACATATAATAAAATGAAAGATATTTGTTAAATTTACCGCCGAGTGGCTGATGAGAAGGTTTCAAATTATCCTTGGGAGAAAAAGCAACAACAGGAATAGCGCTTTTCCAAGTAAAATCATATTTTTGAGTTGTCAAGTCTTGCATTGGCCCTCTGCCTGACCAGGTTTTTGAACACGGCAACCGGGAGATTTCAGGTGTTACAGACCAATTTCCCAAATAGCTCAACTGAATTTTGACACATTGAAAAATTTGACATTATTTCAGAATGAATAATGAATGGGGATAAACAAAAAAATAAAAAAATAAAATTTATACAAAATTATGCCATGACGAAGAATATAAAAGATAAATTGTACTCTGTGAATTGTGTCGTGGGATAACGGGCATGAAGATAATTGAGTAGATGATGACGGTTTGATTGGCAACCGCCTGGCACTTCCACATCCAAAATAACTCAAATTATATGTTGTATTATCATCAGAGCAACAATGGGCATTCAATATATTTTCAGAGTCTCGCACAGTAAATGGTTTACGCATTGATTGCTTATTGGGCCAATAACTGAGACGATAAGTAGTACAATCATCCAATGCAGTTAAGGGAGGATTGTATTTAACTTTCTTTTTCCATGGATAATCGTCATTCTATAAAAATAGAAAATTATAATGATATTTATATAATAATGGAGAAACGAGTTGATTCCTACTTTAATCGGTGATTCATTTGGCCAATAGCTAAGTTTATAGGTCGTACAATCATCAATCGGTATAATCCCTTTCGTGTATTTTCGAATGGGTTTGAAGGAAGTAATAGGAATTCGACATCCAGATTCATAATAACTCAATTTATAAGTCGTGTCACCTTCATCATTGAAAAATTATTATTTACTTGTAAAATGTAATATTTTATATTTATACATTACTCGAAAGATTTGCATTTGGGCAACATAAATTCTCTCGATTCTTCAAAGCCTTTGGTTTTGGTACCAATTTCCAAGTGTAATCGCATTTGTTTGTCGTGACATTTTGCATTGGTCCTCTCCCTAACCACTGTTTATCACACGGTACCATATGAGATTTTGGTTGATCCAAGCACCAATTGCCCAAATAACTCAACTAAAATGCCAACGAAAGGAGGAATCCAAAGTTAATATATATATATAACTACAGTATAGTAGAAAGTAGGTGTGAAAAGTCATTACTTTGTGAGTTGTATCGTCGGTTATGGGTCCATCACCAACGGTGAGTGAAACTTGATGTTTAAAAGGTTTTACTCTGGAAAACATTGGCTCTTTGCGCCAATATGACCTTTCATACGTTGTATATCTTTCCATTGGATTACGACTCCTCCAGTAGGTCTAAATATTGTTGTCAATGAGAAAATCCGTTATGTAAATTAAAACTTTTAATGATAAAGACAATGGTTATATACACGAATCGGAGCAAAAGATTTCGGCACATCTGGCTGAACATATTTCAATAATTTCGATTTAGTATCACAACAGCAGCAACATTTACAATTTCCACCATGATCCACCTATAAATTTTATCAAATTATATAGAAATTTCAATCCACAATGTGTGTGTGTGTGTGTGTGAAAAAATTCAATCAACATACGCAAATGGCCTTTTTCAGCAAAATTATTGAGCGGCGATGATGATTCACTGGAGGACTGTTAAACAAATTCAATATAGAAATAACTCATTATAATGGCATTAAATTTATAACATAATATTCACCGATGAGACGGAGGGCAAATTTCCATATTTCAGATATAATTTTCTAATTCTTCCAATTACACAAGGCACTGATAATAATAATTAAAAATTAAAAAACAAAAAATGACTACAGATAAAATCTAAAAGGGATCGAATCAAACATTTATTCTTTTTTTTTTTCTTGAAATTCCATTTTTCAATGATAAAATGAGAAAAAATGCGCAGTATAAAAAGTAGTTTATTACATTTTTACAATGTTTGATTGATGATTGAGTAAGAAAAACATCAGCTTAATATGATACTTCTAATTGACATTATTGGGTCGATTATTTGGCATGAAATGACTAATTGTATTATTATATTTGTACAAATTTGTTGTTTACAATGAGAACCTCCGAACTGATTTGACGTGTATATTTTTTTTTCTCAATTAATTTTCATTTCATTCAAGTATATGTAAAACCAATTCTTTGAATTATTTGTGGAGAATGTGTCGTGGCAACTGCCAATAAAAGTGGTACATCTGCAGCATCCAGATCTAAAGCACTGGTTAAATCAGCAAGATTTATACTACATATATCCATTGTCATAATCATTTGCGCCAGAGCTCCACTTCTGAGCCATATCTCTCGCATTTTAGATTCTAAGATAGTAAAACAATGCAGGGGTGATTTGTCTTTCGTCCACAGATAAACAAGTGGCTCCAACATTCGTGAAACCAATTTCGACATGCCTACTGGCAATAGTGAATTATACATTGGTAATTTATCGGAAATAAGTCCAACTTGCCAATTATCGATATCAGCAACAATACAAAGCGTTTCCGAGATTGAATAATCAAAGAGCGAATATTTATTAGACATGCTAATATCATCGATTAACTCTGATAATTCATTGTCCATTGTTGGATTAATAACACTATTAATGCTTATTTTTGCATTAATTTCTTTTTTTATTCTTTTTTGATTAGTTTGATTGGATTTTTTGATTAAACCCTGGATAATAAGGCCCGCCGTATATTGAACATCTGGATAAAAAATTTCTCCATCTGATTTTAGCACTGCCCTTTGCAAGAGGGTATCTGTATATCCTGAGGTTTCCTCAATTTCATCTTCCTGTTCTTTCACTAAATCATCATTTTTGCACCTGAATTATATATATATAATAATTAAATATTTATAAAATAAAAATCTTTAATCTATTCATTAATAATATAGATTTTCAATTAATAATAATTACCTTGGCATGGGTAATTCAATGAAATTATTGGCCTCCAAAAGTTGATCTACAGTTGCACAATCAGTTCGACGATTACGCCCACCTCGTATCCCAATGGTTGATGTGCCGCAAGTTCGTAAAACTTCAGTTGCATTAGTTGGCGTTTCCAAAAGTAATTTGCTACTTTCAAAATTTCCTCCATTCCCACTTGAGCCATTACACTTTGGGCAAGAAATACCGAATGATCTGTCTTTACTTAAAGATGTACCAGGTCGTTGAATACTTTTCGAAGACTCGGGAAAATTTCGTTGAAGAATTTTGCGCAAAACTCCTTCGGGTAATTGAGCGGAGGTGCTTGGTACGCGTGTAAATGCAAATGAACATTGACAACTACAATTTTGATTTGTCTGTACCGTCGACTTTTCATCAATTACACGTTTTTCATCACCACCAACAGTGAAAAAAACCTGGCTCTGTTTATCACTTTCATATTCAATCTGCGAGGAGAAATACACTTCCGTTACATCTGAACCATTAGCATTGATTGAACAAATTTCCTTGATCGAATCACAATCATTTTGAAGCAAAATTGATTCCATTGTTTTTGAGTCTAACTTGTTTTCAAATTCATCCTGCGTCAATAATGATGTATTTGCCGTATTTTTTTCACCTCCTACAATTATCTTAATTAAATTTGAATTAATCACATCCTTCTCTGAACCATCCACATCATCTTGATATGAATCCAATTTCAACGCAACTTTATCCTCCAATTTTATACAAGTTGAGCTCTCTAAATTGAGATTTTTATTTAAACTTGTGGTTTTCTTCAATCTTGGAATGTTGAAATGGTCATTTTTTTTCATTGAAAATGACTTGGTCACTGTCTCGTTGGACTCTGTTATTAGGTTATTTTTCTTCAAACAACCTATCGATGGAGCCGTCGAGTTAGGAGAAGGAGAAGAGAAATATGATGAAACCGATGCCGAAGAAGATGACGCAGTGGCCAATGCCGATACCGCTGCCGACGTTGACGTTGAAAGAGAAAAAGGAGAAATGTAGGAAAGTTTTTGACTTTGTCTTTTTTCAACAATATCAATAGCTTCTTGTACATCTTCATCTGAAGTGTTGCGATAAATATTATGTCGTTTGACAATGGCACTGCGAATGAAATAGGAAAGAAATTTTAATATTGCATCGATCAAATGCAATTTATTTGCATCACCAGTTATAATGGTGTGGACTCTTTTCGATGGATTTCCCAGAGTGCCATATAAATCACTCAACTGTATCCACAGTGGATTACAGGGATACTTTGTTTTCATGTTTTCTAGCCATATTTTTTCTTCCAATGATATAACAGTGTTGACCCATCCCAAATGATAGGTCAATACAGCTGTGATTAGTGTACTGAGAAAAAATTTTGTTGATTTAGTATCCAATGTATCGAGCAACTGACACATTTGTTGAAAATTCCGACACAGCATTGTGGTTCTTTTGTATTTTGAAATGGATTTGTTGAGAATAATCTCATGCCATATTGAAATATGATCATTGTCATAATTTTTTCTCGTAACAAGTAGACGCAATAGCCAGCATGTACATCGAAAAGAGGCTTGATGTAATCGTTCAATGAGTCCTCTCTCTTTGCCACTAGTTATACACGTCTGACAAAGCCTATCCAATATTGCTTCTAATTGTGATGCATGTTCGAAAAGCCTGAGCTCCATTTCTTTTTCTCGTTCAGGTGTCAATTTTATCATTATCGTTAGGCCTAATTTTGTTTTATGCCGACGCCTGCTAGAATCACAAATATCATCACACGTAGAAAGAGACACTAGTGGTCTCCCAGTAGTACTAGTAAAGCAAGTACTATTATCACCATAAACTTGTAATCCAAGTATTTCCTCCATTTCATCATTTATTTTTGTAGAGTGATGATTTAAAGAAGTTGATACCGCTCGTAACCATCTTCTACGGAGACTTGGATAGCTACCAAAGCCTGATGATGATGATGATGATGATGATGATGGACTATTGTTATTTGACTCTAGTGATTCTTCCAAATGACTTTTTATTGTAGTCGATATTGGAAATATTGGCACATCAAAATCCCAACCACTACAAGTACTTGAGCATGTCGAACTCTTCCTCAGGCTATTTCCCGATATATTTCCTGAGCTTTGATAAGAAAGGTTCTTTCTCATACTACCATTACTTGAATTTGAATCATTGTTGTTGCTGCTGCTGCTGTTGTTGTTGTTGTTATTATTATTATTATTATTATTATTATTATTATTATTCAATAACGATATTCGCAGAGTCTCATCGGTAAATTTCTCATTGTTCATGCGAATTATGTGGTCTGGTGCTGGAAATACTTTTGTACACATTATACATCGTGGAAATTCTAATGTGTGGATTTTGAAAAGAGTCCCTCTGTATGTCATGGCTACGGTTCCAAAAACCATTTCACTTAATAAATTCACGTTATCGCAAACTTCTTTCTCGCACTGAAATTAGTATGAAATAATATTATTTTCTAATCGTCATTTCGAATAAGTTAGATTATTGTGTTAACTCACCTCATGTGGAAGTCCATTCCCATTCCTAGGACACGAGGTGTTTGTTCCACTACATGTTGATGAACTGGATCCATTACTTCTTCCAGCAGTAACAGAGTCAAAAAGTAACTTTCTACCACGGCGTTCACATTCACGAAATAAGAGGACTCTTATTTGATCTGCTCCAAAATTCAATGTGTTTCTAGTGACCATAAATTGAACATGCATAAACAATAATGAGCTGAGTTGAAAAAGGTTATGAGATCTATTAGCTCGATGAAATATACAGTTTAATAATGATTATAATATTAGGATGAGCCACTTGAAAATTATCATCGACAATGGTTTTTCTCTATATATAGTGGAAAGAATACAGAAAAAATAGGGCATCTCACCTAATACGGAATCCTGTACCAATATCAACTGGTAATTTACAATCTGCATTGGTTTTAATATTTTTTCTTGGAGCAAAAAGTCTATTGATCAAAGGCATTATATTAGATTGAAAAGCTGCCCTTTCACTAGCCCCACATTTCTCCTATTTTCACTATTTGTATATAACAATATTTAACGAAAATGCAAACACAAATATATATGTACATACATGCACGACGATTCACCTCTGTACATAAATTCTTTTTTTTAATTTTATTATTTCTTCTCCATGTATAAATCCATATCTCTTGGTATTTGTTCAATTTTTTCTTCAATTGATTTCCAATAATCGCAAGTTTATGTCATAGATGTACACTCAAAATCTCACTCTGTATATACGCATTCGCAATTTCATAAAATATCCCAACTGTAAATAAAGTCACGTGCAGAAGCAAAAGTCATATGATGTATTTCAGATAATATATGTCACTCTAGATACCAGATAAAGAAGATTATCTCCAGAGGCACTCATCTCCATTTCCAATTCAATATTCCACCACCAGCTTATAGAATCCCTAATTTTTTATACTAAATCTCCATTATATTATAATATAATATTATAGGTGAAACGATTATTGGAAAATTTGTGATATGCACACATGTAAATTATAATGCGCAGAATCCACAGAATATTAGAACCAACCCCCACTATGCTATCCGCGTGCGTTGTATCTGCTGACAGCCCTTATCGCGTTTTCACCCCCTTGGTTTGGTGAATGGTGCAGACGATTCGGATCTCTCGGCATCCTCTATACGTTTATCAAATGTGGTGGTGAAGTACAGAGTAATAATTAACGGCACGTGTTATTATATAATAGTCAATACCAAAAATATATACAAAAAAAAAATATTAAAAAAATGAAACAATTAATATTGAGCAAACTGAACATGTTTCGGTACTATTATGCTATCGTTCTTCATTCTCAGTGATTTATTGATTTAAAAAAGAAAACAAAATTGATAATATACTGACGTGCAATCGGCGCAAGTTGGTTTCGATTCGCATCTCTGACATGAAAGTCGATCAATACGCCTTGTTCCTGCTTCACTATTCCCCTATATACAGTCCAATACAGTCTACATTTCTTTCTACATGCGTAAGTTGCTCATTTGCATTTCCTTTTCTCTTTGTATGGCATATAATAGCATGATTATAAAAAAATTGAAAAAAATATAAACAATGATATCAAAGGCTAATATAATATTCTTCTCTCTTTGTCACAATTTCAAGGTCTCGGTTGAATAATGCAATGGAGAGCATGTGTAAGTTACACATTACTACTTGTTATAATAATTATGGATTAATTAATGATAAAATGAACATTTCATTAATACTTATAGTTGCTCTCCACCAAAAGAGTCCTGCTGCTGTTTACTTGGGTGCTGTAAGACGTACTCAGAGTCAACACAACAACTCATTGACATGTTTACGTTATTGATTTGGAATTATTGGTATTTATGGTATGGAAGGATAATCAATATCATCACTATGAAATATACTTGAGGTGAATTATTCGACTGGTTTAATGTGTAAAATGTCTCTGTGTGTGTGTGTGTGTTTTTTTTTTGTTCTACTAGGGCTGGAATAATAGCGGGGCTAATACTAGCCGCTATATGCGGTTGCTGGCTGTGGCAGGGACGAAAAACAATAAGTTGCTCGAATGGGAGTACATCATCATCTGACAGAAGATATTCTTCAGCTGCGTGCTATCCCCCCCCACATCATTACAGTCGATGCAGTTCATTCATTCAAACTTTACCGCCACCATACAATGAAGTAACAGCAAAACCAGACCTTTATCCTCTTGTTATTGGATTTGGTGATGAAGGCATGGGAAAAGGACCCTCAAGTTTTGTAATGCGATACTTTCGAACACTCTCTCACACAAGTACTCTTGATTCATTGAGTTCAAGTTTTATGTGCAATGTTGTGAATGAGGCAAACACAATAATTCCACCTCCTTATTCAATCGATTCCTGTAACAACAGTATCGATGAGTTATCAACAATGGAATGTGAAAGAGGTCAAATTGCCGATGCAGGATCCTTTGTATCACTGGCTAATAACCAAACAACCTCTGACATATCGAGTCTGGCAGCACAATCACCATGTTCTCCGCCACGTGCTACGAGTCCGACCATTGAATTACGTGAACTACTTGATAAAATTCAACAATTGCCGTCGCATGATTCTTCAATAAATCGTATAAACTATCAAAATCGTCCACAAGCATTGAATTTTCTAGGAATTCAATCACCAATACAAGATTTTTACAGTCCCGGAGACTATATAAACAGCCGTTTACGGCGTACACGCGGAAAAACCTACATGCCTCTTGGCCATCATCAGATGACTACAAGAAATAACAAACCAAAACGCTGGCTATCAAGATCGGCTCCAACAACCCCTTCTGGCACAATGCCCATGGCTTTCATACCTGGTGTTCATAATCCACTGAGGCCCTCAGATACTCATAATTATAATCATCGTCAGCAGGTAATTCCTTTGCTCTCGGAACAAGACGAGAACTCCGTTGCACAGAGTGCAGCTGGTTCTCAATTTACCGAACATGACGAACAATTACAACAATTATGACCATTCATGTCATATTGTATGTTATAAATATTTCATTTTTTAATAATAATAATAATAATAATAATAATAATAATAATAAGCTCAGAGGAGAACCTCATCAATTTTAGCAACTGCAACAATTTTTTAAATCATTTTATTCAAGACTGTTATAAATTCCCAGACGAGAAAATTATTTCTCAATATCAACATATATTATTGAGGTTTGAAAAAAAATTGTCACTCGTATTATAGCAAGGTCAATGGATTCAAACTGCCCTCCATTGGTGCCGTAATTCTTTCAATTCAAATCTTTGAGCTCCTTCCATGAGAGCACAATAAAATTATGAAATTTCATACATCGAGAATGGAATAATAATCACCTTGTTATATGTAAAAAATGAAAATAATAATAATAATAATAATAAAGTACGACGGAAAAAAAATGAAAAGTACTTGTGATTTTCGGCTCCTGAATTGATGAATTTCCATGTGCACATTCTATAGTAATATTGCAGTGCGATTAATAAAAACAAAAAACAAGAAAGATTCATCAATTTCAATTTGTAGGAAAAAAAATATATATATAAGTGGGTAAATATCCATGACAATATAGGTAATTATTATTACTATGAATTGAAGTTTACTGCTCAGTGCACGAATAACGCAGAAGGAACAACATGAATAAATACGTATAGAAATGAATAATTTAGATGAAGGATATACGTGCATTAGGGACATTGCACATTATTATATAATGCTGTCAAAATATCACACAATTGAATGTGTATTTCGTGATCGCAGTTACCAAAAAAACATATAGTCGTAGAGCCAAATGTACTTATACAACCCTTTAGCTCTACGACGACGATAATGACAACAATATAGATAATATAGAATAAGTTAAATGATCATCTCTTTCCGTTGGAAAGATAATGTTATCGAAATACCTGTGCGTCAAGTATTGTCATGTATTTTTTTATAAATAATAAATCTAATACTGTGAAAAATGTAATAAAAAATAAATTCAAGCTTTGAGAATTTAAAAGTGAATAAATTAATAGTGGAATACTAATACCATTCCACTTTCATATTTTACATTTAGCAGATGATTAATAGCTATTAATTTCATAAAAGGCATGTTTATTTACTCAATTTGGTGATAAAATACACTTGCTTGATATAAATACAACACTTTTTATATATAATATTACAGAGAGAATACACATATGTAGCAATCAAAGGACTTGACAAATTTTCACCTCTCTCTCTCTTTCTCCTTCTCCAGCAGTAGTAAATCATTGGACGTATCATTAGTTTACCATTGTTATATAGGTATACCTTATTATTGAATTGTGGGTATGCAAGGTAAATGGCTAGTCGATAAATAAAATGTAAAGTACATCTATTGACATTGTTTTTTAACAATCAAAAGCATGGACAATGATAAAATTTATGCTATGCGCGGACATGTGAAAAAAATTCTATCTGAAGTTTTTTTTTTTCTTGTGAAAAAATTTAATAAATAAGTGGTATATGTATTTTCGTTTCTCCAGAAAAATTTCATATCTAGTGGTATTATTATTACTATTATTATTATTATTATTATATATACATTAACAATTTACGTCCGGTCGCAACTATAAATAGTTCATGTGCGTATACGATTCATACAAACAAAAAAATGTATAAAATTATAAAATATTATCGTTGTTTGTTAACAACAATTATAATGCCGAAAGAATCAGTTTCAAAAGGATTCATTAGTTGTAATGTAATGAAATTTCTATTTACATTTTTAACAAAAGTATATGAAATTTGTCAATTGATGCATGAGAGCTAATAGTATTTATTAAAGAAAAAAAAAGAAAAACCAATAAAATTGAAAAAATTAATTTTTTGAGATAATAATACCCTTTGGTGGATTATTATTGGATCCACTTATAGCACTAAATAAAGCTGAACTATTTCTCTTGAAACTGTCAAGCAAATCACCAGGCCATATAGATTCACCAAGTAATGGCGACATGTTTTCACAAAGCTTGTAATAATTATCTCTTAAAACTCGTTGATACTCTTGTTGATCAGTTGTAATTAATTTACTATTTATCTGCAATGCTGTATAACATATTTTAATGAAATCTCGGAAAACATCTCTGAGTTGTTCAACTTTATCGTCAGGATATTGTGGAGATAAGGCAGGATCGAGAAATGCTGAAGCATAAGCAAGTGGCCCAGCATTAACTGTAACACATACACTACCTTGAAGGCGCAGTTGTAATTTTTTAATATCAGTCGGTAAAATCAGAGTGACATCTTGGAGCTCTTGAACTCTCTGTCTCATTTCATCCAATGCTACTTCAATGGGCGTTAATTCAATGATTTTCTTATCTATAATACATATACGTTTCTTAATATAAGGGAATGCATATGGTGTGAATAAAATAGTTCTTCTTTTCCATTGATCCTCCGGATTACCATGGGGCTTTCCTTCTTTAGTAAATGGTGTCTCAAACATAAAACTTGAAACATCATGATTATGTTGAAATTCAGTGACTCTTGTTTCAAGCTCTTTATTTTCAAAGTAAGGAGTGACATGAGTCACTTGTATATATGCTACTTTAGTATCGAGTAAAGTTTTATCAATTGGCGCTGAATCCATAATCATTTTCACATTCTCTGGGCCAAATTTATCAGCATACAAACGATTGAGACGTTCAGACATTTCAGAGAGTGACGTTACTTTAGGCTCTTTATAAATATATTCTTGGGAATTTTCTTCCTCAAAGTAAGCAGAACCAAAAAATGCAACTCTGTAAAAACGCCCAAGTAATCTTTTACCAGTTCTTGTAACTTCAACAATTTTATTGCAAGCTTGAGACAAATGAGAATAACACGTTGCCAGGGCATTGTAATCACGTTTATTCTCAAGAATAGGAATAATAAGTCGATAAAGTGGCCCCAGTAATTCAAAACGCTCGGCTTTCTCCAACATTTCAGCACATTTTTCCAATTGCTCCAAAAGAATTATACTATTATAATGAACATCTTGTACTCCAGCATCGAGTTTTAATCCTCTCTCATCTTTACTAATATTTATTGATATTTTATCAAATGCTTCACTACCCCAATCATGAATTTTTTTCAATTTCAAATATTCAGCCATAAGTGCCGCAATATGCAATTGACAGCAAGCAGCTTCTGAATAATCACCATTTTTCGAGTGATTTCTTGCCATTGTTTCAAGCCATGTATGTCTTAGCTCAGGTGTACTTGCATAAGAATTAGCCAAACTGTGTTGTAAATCAACCAACATTTCGGGATTATCATTGTGTTCTCGCATTTGCGCTGTCGCCATCAATACAGTACGAATTCTTTTAATTAAATCCTTAACTTCAAATGGAAAACCTGTTCCTTTCATAGCTTTGTCTGATGAGGCATAACTATTTATCAAAGATAATGACTCTTGGAATCTTGAATTATTAAGACCAATAACACTACCGAGCATTTGCGATACTGATATTATTACTTGAAGATGTACTCTTGTTAAACCCTTTCTATTAGTATATTCAAAATTACTCCTCATTAGTAAATATAGTAATGCACATGATTCTTGTCTAATTGAACTGAGTTTACTATTGCAACATCTCAATAAATTATGACAGAGAAGCCCACATAATACTGCACTCCCATTGAACAATACAATTGAATAATTATTAAGATATGCACGAAAACTTGCAAATACATGACGATAGAGACTCTCTGATTGGCCTATTTCTAAAAATTTCAAATAGATAAAAAATAATTTTTCCATTATACTATTATCACCATCATTAACAAGTAGTACTTCTTTAAAATGAATGCAAAATAATCCAAGGCAGTCAAGAACAATGAGTCCAACTTCAGTTGATATATTCGCCTCAACTAGAGCCGTCTGAAATTTTCCATTCTCTTCTTCCCCATCAATTAAATTTTCTCTTGTTGATGATGGAATATTGTGAGGCTGAAGTGTTCCAGTTGCTGAATTGTCTGATGAAAAATTTGGCGGTACTATTCTAGCTGGCAGTGTCATGGCTTTTACTGTTTTGGCTGTTTTAACATTTGTGTTTGCATTTATTTTCGATATTATTTGCCTTTTTCCATCATACTTGAAATGATGCAAACTCATTTCAATAACAGTGAAAAAACTTTGAATTTCATTATCAGAGCACTGTTGCCACCAAGCAATTATCTGATGATCTCCAAGATATTTCATAACAAATAGAAAACAAATTAGTAAATCTTTCATTTCCGATGATTGGAGTTTGTCACATCTGGGTGATGTTTGAGTTACGCTCAATGATCTTAAATGTCCAACATTACGATGATCATTGATTATCGTATCATTTTCAGGGGCTGAATCACAGCACGCTATTGTTGTTTCTTGTGATACATGAGAATGTGAAGCACTCGATAAAGTTGATGCATTAGACTCTATGCTGGTGCACGAAAATCCATTGGCCAAATTTTGTCCAGCAATGGCAGCAAAATACGTGGAATCACGCAAATGTATTGATGCTCGTTTTGGAGATGGTGTATCCAAATGGAGTGTCAATCTGTGCATGGATTTTGGTGTTTCATTATTTATATTACCTATTATTTGCTCCTTATCTCTATCTCTATCTTTATCTTTGTTATTACTATTATTATTATTATTATTATTATTAGTATTATTGAAAAACGAATTGCTCATTGGCATACGATTTGAGGAAGTAGTTATTTCATTCGTCGTTCTATTATTATCCAGTAATTCAATTTTATTATTATATTTATCATCAGTCTCATATACTGTTTCAAGTCTGTGTAAATTTTCCAACACTATTCCCAACCAAGGTATATAAATGGCTGCTATCCGACTCATTTGGCCTTTATTCTCATATCTATCGTCTAATTCATGTTTTGCCAATAAATCTGCAAGTGTGGTTATAGCCATTTTTCTTATCTGTACAATTTCGTTGAGCGAAGATTTCACTTCTTGAAGCAGTAAACCAACAAGGAAATGATGCTTACAAAACTCTTGAGACAAGCAGTATTCCAATAATAAATCTGAAATTATACAATGTATACATATATATGATTATTTTTCTGTCTGAAATGATTATAACTATTACATACCATCACTCTCCAATTCTGATGTGTGGATTAGAATATATTTGTCAAAAATGAGATGTAATTAATTTTAATCCATATTTATTATTATTATTATTATTATTATTATTATTACTACTACTACTCACTATATTCTTACCTTTAGTCGTTACCCGAGTCTGCATCATTGGTAAATTCAACGAGATATAGTGCTCATGTGAGCATATTATTTGTAGGAAAATAAATTTATAATCTTGGAGTGTTCTCGAATCGCCGGGTGTAAAATGGCTCATGTATTGATTAATGAGAGTAAACACAAAGCCTCTATCCATAAAAGTAAGGCATTTCTGGAATTGATATAAAAAAAGACAATTAAAAAAATATCCTATATATATACAAAATTACATAATTATTCGACTTTTTACAGGAAAAATAAAAAAAGTCAAAAAACAATGATTTATATATTACCTTGAAAAATTGTGCAAGACTTTTATTCAATTCATGTGTCTCCGTTGGCATTTCTTTGTACTTAATCATCAAATAAGGCATAATTACTTCCAATAATTTTTTAATTGCTTTATAATAATCATGTGGAAAGCGTTCATTGCGATGCATTTTTATTCTTCCAGTTGTCAGCATGTGTTGTGCCATACTTTTCACCATAATTTCAAAAAAGAAATTTGAATGATGCATAAACTTATTAACAATGAGAAAATCAGTATTGCTCGGTTGAAGAAGAGTTGGAAGATATTTAGCAAGTTGTTGGTGTACTGTAGTTGGAGAATTAATAGTGCCATTGGACGATAGAGCTACAAATACAAATTTCACATAGGCTTGAAGTACATCTCTCCTTTCAGCCTCGTGCAGTGAATTTATAATATGGATCAAAAGTCTAATGATACATAGACAAACTTCTTCTGCTGGATCAGAAATTAATAATGCAAATAATTGATTGAGTATTGTTGGTAAGAATGTAATTGCAGTGACAAGTTGTATGGCATGTGCTGCCTTTAATATTTTACAAGTCTCTGTATCGGATGGCATTACTGTCGATGATACTTTTCTATCGATAATTTTCTCAGCATGGACAAATAAATTATGCAAATGTAAATCCCTCGTAAATATAGTGGATGTAAGATGAAATGAGACTGTGAAAATTGGCCTCTGGGCATCAATCCAAGTGACATCAGGACCAGAATTACCCTGACCAAGACCTAATGGTTCAATCGAAAGATATCCTGATGGTAAATGTGTTGCAACTGGCAATGAATGTAAATTAATCTCCATATCTACAACAAGTTTGCCTTTATTCAATAAATTTATCCACGAATAGCCAACGCAATTTTCAACACAATTTTCCTTTTTCTTATTCATATCACAACTTATGTGATAAAATGAAAAGAGAAGATGATGCTTAGCATGAAGTTTGTTGGGTAATTTGATTTTTATTTCTTCATACCAAGAAGGCGTTACACTATGATGTAAAACTGGACAGCTTCCTCTATTTGATAAGATTATTGAATTGGATTTATCATAAATGCATTTCAATGCTTCTTTTCCTTCCCTCTCATCGTCAACCTCGTCATTATCCCTGAGCTCTACAATGCATGATATATTTCTAGCCCGATTGAAAAATTTTTGCGTATCAAAATTTAAGCTCTGTGGATAAACGTATAAATTATTTCTATAAGTTGTGTATGGATGAAGAACATCTCTCTCTGATGGGCTCTCGAATTCCAATATTTCAAGAGTTGGTGATGTAGTTGGTGGTATTGGAAAGGGTTGAATAGGTTCCAATGAGGTTGTCAATGTATTTTCTGGAATATCATTAATAGTTTCGACATGAAGTTTAAGCCAACCAGGTATCACAGTTAATTTACTCAATTTTTCCGGTTTTCTATACTCGGAGAGTAATTTAATAATATCATCATCGCGCATTCTATTTATCTCTTGTCGATAAATTGCTGGAAAATCAGATGATGTATCGAGTTCATTGCTATATAATCGAAAAAGTGGTCTTGCAGACCAGGCAAAAGGCATTCGATAATTGCCAAGTCTGTGATAGCATGCTTTCACATTTTTGTGAACTTTTAGTCCCAAACGGGGATCCTTGGTTGCTTTTATGTATGGCTCAGCTGTTTGATATATATTTCCTTGAAGTACTTTTTCAATTCTTACAACGAGAAATATGTCTGGATGAGGATTGCTAATACTAAAAATCGCTTGGTTCACATATTTCAACCATTTGTCATTGACATTAATTTTATATTTCTCTTTCAATTCAATGTAATCGTCTGTTGTTGTTGTTGTTGTTGCTTTTTTATCATTAGCCATAATAATTGGAGTTAATTCAGCCATCATATTGCGAGCAATATCATTGTTGACATCAAAATAAAAATTTTCCGATAATTTACGGCCTTGTCGTGCATCAAACAGGCATAGACTAGTTTGATATGGTTCAACTTGACATAGAGTTTCATTATCATCAATGGGTGCTTGTAAGCGGAATTTTAATGCTTCACATTTGATGAATATCCTTTGGCCAAAGTGTTCCTCGTACGGATTTATATTTTTATTATTATTCTCACCCAATATTGTTGATAATGTGAATATTGGTGATGGATTCTTTCCACCGAAATGATAGTTATGATGGCTATTATAAAGATTGAATAATCGTTTTCTATTCTCTCTCCTTGCAAGAAGAATACTCGTATCAGTTTCTCGGGAATACTTTATCAACTGTGGATTCATACTTTGATCTAATCCCTTGAGAGTACCATAATAAATGGGACTAACAGACTGAGAGGATGAAGGAGGTAGAGGATTCAAGGGTGGCGTTACATGTCCAGGAGGCTCTAACGATGATATATGTTTGTCATTATAATCTTGTTGTTTATAATGTTGCAATACTAAATTCAATTTTAACAACCAATCTTGCATTTCAGATTCACTATCAGCACCAAATGTATACGACTTTTCCGTTCCACTCATTCTTAATTCGAAACAGTATCTTCCACGTTTTGAATTTTTCACTACTTCTGTACAAAAATCCATGACAATTGTTAATTTGGCCTCACTTTTTTTTTCATCTTTAAACAGTTCCAAAATGTATGTTCCATCAACTTCTTGATGTAAATTACAGAAGCGTCTTTTAAATGATTTTGAACCAATATGGGCGAACATTCGGTCAGTTTTTTCCAATCCAATTTCGGGTCCCTTCATTAGATAGCCTTCTTTGGTTATGCCATCATTTTTATTCTTTATCATGTCTTCATCAATTTGATCAACATCTGTATCAATCTCATAAATTTCATCTTTTAGCTCATCCAGCTTAGAAGATAATTTTGGTAATTCCATGTATGTACCACTGTATGCAGCATATTTGTAATGTACCATATTCCAATTTGATGCATAACTCTTGAGGCATTCTCTAGTCAATAGGCTCTCAGTACCATCAATCTCAGCCAATATATTTTCAGCGGTTAGCTCAACTGTTCTGCATTTTCTTGGTAATACAACTTGCTGGAATAACCGAGCTATTGAAATTATCATTATAATCATTATAATCAACTTATTCACTTGATGGTAAAATAACTTACAGAAACATCATCCGGTGGATATAGAAGTAATTCCCGCTGTGGATCGTTTTGTAAAAGAGTTCTGTTTTTCAAAACAAAATTCTCAAAGTCTACCGGATCCACTAGGCGTGGCTTATTCTATATTATAAACAAAAATAACAAGTTGGAAAATGAGAATTAAAAAAATACAAAATTCATTATGATTATCATTACCTGGACTGTACTTTCGCGCACAACCTGGGATACAGTCTCTCGAAGTTGTGCAGCCATGCCGGGTTTGCCAAGGGCGCGCGTAAATTTTCGCTCACTCATTTTCTTCTCAAAAATATCAATAATAAAATAACTAAAAAACGTGATTAATTCCACTGAGATATTGTACCAATAAACAAAGCATTGCAAAGAAGAAAAATAATGACAACTTTAGCTACTGAGCGTCACACACACTGTTGGGTCGTCAACCATGCCCAATGTCGCCATTCTACCACATTCTACCGCGCACCCGTTGCCTGTCGCTGCACTAGATTACGTACATTGCCTGTTGTGTGTGTGTGTGTGTGTGTTGTGTATCTTGTGTATAAAAAAATATGAAAATCTCAGTGTTATACATGTATATTTATGAATTCCAAATGCAACGGTGAATAAATATAATATTTACACTGAATTTAAAGCTAGGAAAATTGGCGCCTCTTGGCCAACAAAAATTACGGGCTAAGCCAAGTTCTCATATATAAACATCTCAAAACACAGATTTCAGTAGATAACTCGCCAAGAATCTAGCATCCGATAAACAATAAAGGTGGCAAATAATCATCCTCAGATTCATGTGCATTTACCCTCTGCACACTTTGCAGCAAACAGAGCAGGTGGAGAGCAGGTTTTCTCCGTTCGTGTAGTTTAAGTGTTTTTTTGCCTGTTTTGTGTATTCTATCTTTATTACAGATTCAATTCTAGATACTTGCACGTTATCTGCTTATTTGGGTCCACACACACAAAATGAGTGTGTGCGCAAGGCAAAGGGGCGCGTTCTGAAAATTTCATCACCTGTGTGTTATGTATAGTACATATGTTGACATATGTATTAGTCACTCTGTGCGGCAAATGGTGGACGGGACGGGACTGTCATCGTAGTGGCGTTCACGTTACAGGTATGTCATCATTGAAATACTACTTTCTGTTGTATTATCAATTTTTCAATTGCTATCCAAATAATAATACCCTTGTTAGGAGAATAATCTTTCTAATATACCTTGGAAAATTGCAATCGTTTTACATCATTTTTATTTCAAATCACAGAACAAAATGCGGCGTATTATTCTTCAGCTGTTACGTAAAATTATTGCACAAGTTATAAATAGTTTTTTTTTCCTTTATTCTCATCGACCAATTACCCTTATTTTGAAACGTGGATAATATCGGCTTTCCATATAGGTCAGGTCTCATGGATGACAAATTCTACTCGTCGTGCAATATAAAAAATAACCTATATCTATATATTTTCATGCACACCCTTGAATTTTTAAGTGAAAAATCCGTGATTGCGGCATATGTAACCTTGTTTATTGAAAGTAAACAATGAAATCTATCCTTATGCTATGAATTTCTTATGCTAAATACCAATACTTTTCTATGTATGAATATTTTTTTGAAATTTCATTTGCTATATTATTCATACGTATCCCAATAATGGAACGCCTACAATAGGATAATTTTACCTGGCTCACGAGACGTCACATGATTGTCTCTTTGAGATGGTAAAATTAGTTTTGCCATTTCAGAAGAGACAAGTTATTATAATGATTAATTATAATAATTTCCATTCCAGGTCAAAATGTACAGGGCTAGAACAGTATTTAGTTCGTTGACGCCTCTGGCCCCGCGAATATGTGGGGCAGAACGGTTCGCAAGTTGGTTAGTACGTAGTCATCCCCTTATTCGTAATACACAAGTTGTCGTTGCATTGGAACCGACACGCCGTTACGGGAGTAAAGTTGCTACAGAGCCATTTCTCAATGGCAGTACTAGCTCTTATGTTGAAGAAATGTACAATGCCTGGTTGCGAGATCCTCAAAGTGTACATATATCCTGGGATTCTTTCTTCAGAAATAGTACTGCAGGTGCTGGACCTGGTCTTGCATACCAACCTCCACCATCTCTAGCGCCTCGACATGATCAAATACCACTGGGGACACTTTTACCACTTGGTGCAACTTCCCAAGTAGGACAAGTACCAATCAATGAGAAAATTATTGATGATCATCTTGCTGTTCAGGCCATCATTCGGTCTTATCAGGTATGTATTGACAAAAATTATTAAATCTTAATTAATAATGGCTCAAATGGGGAAAAGATGAGCTACTCGGCACCTCCCAGTACAATTTTTCATATAGATGATTATATCTTGGTTTTATTTGTTTTTTTTTTATTAAACTTTTTTTTTTCTACCATGGGCTGAAGAATACATACTTTGATGTGCAAGGGGAATGGTAAAGAGCTCTGCATGAAGCAACCACAATAAAAATTAATTTTTGTCACACATTTATGGTAATTTCATAAAACTAGGACTATCATCGATATATACAATACTATGGGCATTCATTCATTCAGTTTCAAGCACGCTTATCAATTATGGGAATTACTTTATTACGCCGCTCATTCATCATTTTAGAATGTGTGTGTAATTTAGAGATCACACAATACCCTTATTCCGCGTGATTGTTGTCAGAGATATATATATATTATGTGTAATTCACATATAAATATTCTGTATTGAGCTCTTTACAAAAGGGAGGAAACATGATAAAAATGGCAAATTAATTAGTAAAATATTGAACGTTAAATGAAATTCAAGGCCCGGGGTCATTTAGTCGCTGATTTGGATCCTCTTGGTATTATGAGAGACGACTTGGTACACACGCATTACGCTTCCCGTAAGGGAGCCCCCGAGCGCGTTCTTCGGCAATATATGCTTGGTAAGGCAATCATCATTCATTCATTCATTCATCTATCTATCCCTTATTTATTTCAAATAATAGAATCGAGGCTGTTATACTTTATAGACACATGTTGTTCATGTCATTATTGAAATTTTATTATTATTATTTGTTATCCATCTTCATCTTTTATTTTCTTTCTTCTTCTTCTTCTTCTTCTTCAAATATAATAATTTTCTCAATTATCTCTGAATGCTGATACTGAAAATGCATTGATATCTGGGGAATAAATGAAATAACATTTCAATTGACAAATTGAAACTCATGGCATTAAAGATGATTTAATTTCGCAGTGCACTTGAATAGGTAACGTAAATGAAATTGATGACTTGCATGTTGACTGCTTTTACACGAACTTTTTGTTACTGCTTGCTGCTTTTTACTGTTGCTTTATGTGTTGTCCATTGCTATCTTTATTTTATTATTGTTATTATTATTATTATTATTATTATTATAAAATATTCTCATCAGATTGTGGGAGGTGTTCGATAATGGAGTTAATCTAATTTCCTTTTTTTTCTGAGAAAAATATGTAAAGATATGTATCAAGAATGCAATTGATAATACTTATAATAATGGTAATAATTATCATGATGATACGGCTAGTCGTTATGAATTATGGCGTTAAATTGACAGATACGTGGACATCATATCGCAAAATTGGATCCTCTTGGAATCAACAGTGCTGATCTTGATGATAGGCATCCACAAGAGTTACTCTATAATCATTATTCTTTTGGTAAGCCAATAACTCGGGTAATGTCTTTCAATCTTTTTGAAAAAGAGTATACATCTTATAGTATTGATGGTCTAGCCTTTTCATTTTTATATATTTATTTTTATCCTTAAAGATTCACTCAATTTTTTTAATGGAAAATGAGTGAGACATTCTCTTGATGAGAATGCAATAGTGAGACTGTACTATCTTTTTTCTGAATAGCATCCTCTAATTCATTGGAATTTGATACATCATTTTCATTTATATTAGGCACTGTTGAATAGTTCTACTTCCTTTGTATAATAAAAAAATGTAATCGTTAATATGAATGCCAGCTGAAATAATAGATAAATAGCAACGGCTTTCATTGTCGGGACCGACAATAATCAGTAACGTTTATCACTTTAATTTAATATTGATTGGAGTATCCTAGAAAATATTGACTCCTGCATACGTACACGATAGGCAGATGAGCATCGATCAATTAAAAAAGGGTGAAAATAAAAATTATAATAATTAAATAATTCAAGTGGCAATTGAAATTCCCAGATTCGGATTTTCAGTCTGAGTTTGATGTTTCCACAGGAAAAAGCTCTCGCATCACATACTCTCAGGACCTTCAATATCGAGTAGCCGTTCTCATGAAACGTAGGTAGTTACGAAGTAACGGAAATTCAAAAGCTCATTGTTTTAATCTTTTGATTTATTGTATTCGTCGGGTTGATTCCTCAGCTAGGACTTTTTCCAATTTGGATGGTAATGGTGCGGGCTTTTGACTTGATTGAAGAATTCTCATTTTCCAGATTATCGACGGTTTTCATTTTTATTATTATTATTATCATTTTTAAATTTCATTGTTTTAAAATCATCTTCTTTCTACACAACATTTTCCATTTCTTCTCTCATCTACGCAATCAAATTCAAATGATGGGGGATTTGGCACAGGCGCTTATCACTATCGGAAAGAATGAATCAATCCAATTATTATCCCATTTCATTTTCCTTTTCATCATTTTGTTTTTAACATGATTTTAATGTTTTTCTATTCTACTAATTTATATTAATTTATTTCCTCTCCTATTTATGATACATCTATGATAATATATCATTTTTAGCACAATTTTTATTATTATCCTTTATTTGAGTCTATACATTGGTGTTTTTATTGCTAATTCTCACGAAATTGTATTGGAATTTCGCATGCATGTGGTAAATATATCATGAAAGTAATGGCCACAACTAGTGACTCTACACCACTACAACATTATTATATTATAGGTAAATAACCGAAATGAAAATCACCGTAAATACATATCTATTTCTCAAATGTATTTTGGCATTTTCAGTATTGGTATATATTTCTTTCTCGATTTACAATAAACAGAGTGGTCTTGGTTATAAAAGAAACAAAAAAGAGAAAGTTACAACTAGAATAATTTCATGAATACATGGACTTTGAGTATAGAAAGGTTCATTAATATTAATTGAATTGACATAATATAGAGGAATCTGACATGGAGAGAGTCTTCAAACTTCCATCAACTACATTTATCGGTGGAAAAGAAAAATCTCTACCCCTCCGAGAAATTCTGAAAAGGCTGGAAAATGCTTACTGTGGCCACATTGGTGTTGAGTTTATGTTTATAAATTCATTGGAGCAGTGCAATTGGATTCGTCAGAAAATGGAAACACCAGGAGTAATGGAGGTAACGAATGATGAAAAACGCTTGATATTGGCACGTCTGACGCGTGCAACGGGTTTTGAAGCGTTTTTAGCAAGAAAATGGTCATCGGAAAAGCGATTTGGTCTTGAAGGCTGTGAGATACTGATTCCAGCCATGAAGCAAGTTATTGATAAATCTACCGAACTTGGAGTTGAGTCTATAGTAATGGGAATGCCTCATCGTGGTCGTCTCAATGTATTAGCTAACGTATGCCGTAAACCCCTAAATCAAATATTCACTCAATTTGCAGCTCTAGAAGCAGCTGATGATGTAAGTGATTTTTTTTCCAATAGAAAATTATAATAAATAAAATATATATGTACCTATATAGCAATTTATTAATGAATCATTGAATGACATTGAAATACAGGGCTCTGGGGATGTAAAGTATCATTTAGGTACATACATTGAACGTTTGAATCGTGTTACCAATAAGAATATTCGTCTTGCTGTTGTTGCCAATCCATCTCATTTGGAGGCTGCTGATCCGGTTGTCCAGGGAAAAACGCGCGCCGAACAATTTTATCGTGGAGACGGAGAAGGCAAAAAAGTAAGCCCTACCACCTTATTATCATATAGATTATTGATACCATTGATTATGATATTAATAATAATAATAATAATAATAATAATTTTAGGTCATGTCTATACTTTTGCACGGTGACGCTGCTTTCTGTGGACAAGGGGTAGTCTTTGAGACAATGCACTTATCCGATTTACCAGATTATACCACTCATGGTACAATACACATTGTTGCAAATAATCAAATTGGATTCACCACTGATCCACGGCATTCTCGTTCGTCGCCTTATTGTACAGACGTCGCACGTGTTGTCAATGCACCTATTTTCCACGTTAATTCTGATGATCCCGAGGCCGTTATGCACGTTTGTAAAGTAGCTGCCGAATGGCGCGCTACATTCCACAAAGATGTTGTTATTGATATTGTATCATATCGGCGAAATGGACACAACGAAATTGACGAGCCCATGTTCACTCAACCTCTTATGTACCGTAAAATTCGAAATACTCCACCAGTTTTGGATATTTATTCCAAGAAATTGATTGATGAAAGTGTCGTAACACCCGAGGAGGTGAAAGATGTTAAAGATAAATATGAAAAAATATGTGAAGAAGCATACATTGGTGCACGTCAGGAGACCCACATTAAATACAAGGATTGGCTGGATTCACCGTGGTCTGGATTTTTTGAGGGTAAAGATCCATTGAAAGTATCACCTACTGGTGTTAAAGAAGACACGCTCATTCATATTGGTAAAAAATTTTCATCCCCACCGCCAAATGCTGCTGAATTTGTCATTCACAAAGGTATTGAACGTATATTGAAAGCTCGAATGGAGATGATTGAATCGCGTCAAGTCGATTGGGCGCTTGGTGAGGCAATGGCATTTGGATCACTGCTCAAAGAAGGTATCCATGTGAGACTATCTGGGCAAGATGTTGAGAGAGGTACATTCTCACATAGGCATCATGTTCTTCATCATCAGACTGTTGACAAAGCCACCTATCGGCCACTTTGTTATCTCTATCCAGATCAAGCACCATATACTGTTTGTAACAGTTCACTCTCTGAATTTGGCGTACTTGGTTTTGAATTGGGTTACTCCATGACAAATCCCAATGCACTTGTCTGTTGGGAGGCGCAATTTGGAGATTTTAACAACACCGCTCAGTGTATTATCGATCAGTTTATTAGCAGTGGTCAAGCCAAATGGGTCCGACAGTCGGGTATTGTGATGCTTCAACCACATGGTCTTGAGGGTATGGGCCCCGAGCATTCTAGTGCACGTCTCGAACGTTTTCTTCAAATGTCTGCTGATGATCCAGACTATTTTCCACCTGAGAGTGAAGAGTTTGCTGTCAGGCAGCTACATGACATCAATTGGATTGTTGCCAACTGCAGTACACCCGCTAATTATTTCCACATACTTCGTCGACAAATTGCACTACCTTTCAGAAAACCTCTCATTCTTATGACACCTAAATCACTTCTTCGTCATCCTGAGGCTCGATCGAGCTTCGATGTTATGACTGAAGATACACAATTCTTGAGGGTTATACCAGAGGAAGGTCCTGCTGCTCAAAATCCATCCAGTGTTAAGAGATTAATATTTTGCTCTGGCAAAGTCTATTACGATTTGACAAAGGCAAGGACCGAAAGGAGTATGAATGACAAAGTTGCTATTGCAAGGGTCGAACAAATTTCCCCCTTTCCCTATGATTTGATAAAGAGAGAAGTTGAAAAATATCCAAACGCTGAAATTATGTGGACACAGGAGGAAGCTAAAAATCAAGGCGCCTGGTCATATGTACAGCCACGATTTGTTACAGCTCTCAACGGAACACGCAACCTTTCGTAAGTACTTTTATTTTTATACTATCATTATTACTGTATATATGGCCCACATTTTTATTATTATTATTATTTTCATTTTCATTTTTCACTTTTTTCTCCCCTTTCCTTTTATTATTTAATAATAACCCAATTGATTCTCAAGTACAATTGAAAAATGTTGGGCCATGTTACAGTAATAGAAGCTCTCATAAAAATAGTGATGGTTGGTTAAGTGCGTGGCTTTCATCCTCTAAACCATCAAAATCCGAATCCGTACCTGAGTCACCACAAAAAACAAAATCACGTAGAATCAGGTAATAATTGATGCTCGTCAAGCTCACAACTAACAGCGTATATTATTTAACATTCATTTCATATTTTTCAAACTTTCAAAGTCTACTGATATTTTCCAATATACACATGTCAATTCTTCTGTTACAGATATGCTGGTCGAGCCTGTGCCGCATCACCAGCGACCGGTAGTAAAATGCAGCATCTGAAGGAACTCAAACAGTTTTTAGACGACAGTTTCGACATTTAAAGTCAATCTCGTGTAGCACTATTGTAGAAAAAAAAACGACATCATTTTATTTATTTTCCCCTTGAACATAAGTTAACTAAACCTTCTGTAAAAGAGAAAAAAAATACATCTCGGTAATTTCAGTAGAGGTATGAACAACGACAAAATCATTACAAATGATAACCTTTTGATATTTGTGCGCCTCTCGGTATGAAAATATTTCTTATAATTTGATTTGTAACTTTTGTTATCAATCTTAAAATAGTTATTTAAACTTTTGTTGTCAACTGAATGGCTGATAGAATATGCCATTGTATCGGACGAGTTACAAATTCTATTATTGATGAAGAAATGTGAAAAGAAAAATAGAAAACAACTAATTATTTTTAAAAAGCGTTTGTGAATTAATAATGAGAGATTAAAGTAAAAAAACAATAGGCCTCTTGAAATTAACAATCAAGTATTACTTTTCATCTGTCTCATTTTGTTAATGATGACTAAGGAGAAAACCAACTGAACACATACAAATGTGATTCCACAGTACTTTAAATGTGAGTTTTCAATAAATATTCATACAAATCTATGTCAGTATAAATGAGAATACTCTTCTTTTCTTTTTCGTTGTTTTTTTTTTCATCCAATTCCAACTCCTTTATATTTTTCTATCAGAGCTGGTTAGAATAATACCAATGACACCGATTTTTCATATTTCCTAATATTATTCAGATATTCTATTCTACAGTTGGTGAGAGAAATAAATTAGAATCGAGTATTCATCAAAAATAATATTCCTTTATTTCATCAACACATATAGTTCTCCTGATTATGCAGATATTTTTAAGTTATCTTTCGGCGAATATGTAATTGAATAAGTGCAATGTTTCCAAAATACAGATATCAAATGATAAGACACAATTAAATATTTCAATAATCCGTTTGGCCGAGAACGCTGTACATGATTCTCTTGAAACTATTGCTCTGATGGATTTTTTCTCCGTCATCATCATATCCACTTGCCTGCAATAAAAAAAATTAGTTAATGACAATTGTCGTTCTTTTGTTTCTTCGCTAACAAGGTTTCTTGCTTTTATTTAATTGTTTTTTTTTTAAAGTATTCTTTAAATAATTGAAAAATTAACTTAACGTACAATATATTGATGAGCAAACTTAAAATCCATTGACACGATCCTTTATAAAAGGAAGAGGAAAAGGACGATACATTCCACCCTTAATCAGACAAATATGGATGCATTTAGATATCATGCTTCATTGGGTCATTCTCTGTTACGGAGATAATTCTCTTTTGTTTGTGTATTCAACACCAATTGTAATCATATAATCATCCATTATTTTCTAATGATTTGTTGAAGATAATAATCACACAAACTTACGTAAGAAGAAGCTGGACTCTTCGGAGGAGGATGATGGACCTGCTGTAAAGGGGCTTTCATTGATTATAAACAGTAATTATCAGCATATCAGAAGAATTCCAAGATCAATTAAGAGATTACTTGCCCTATTGTGGTGAGCTCGTTGGGGAGCAAAAAGTCCCGTGCGCGCTGGCTGACTAACTTCTTGCACTTCATCGCCGTATTCTTCCTCTTGCAGAGCTTTGTACGCTTCACTTTTACTTGGATCATACTTCACAGGCTTCTTTGAACTATATACAATTCAGTGAGCAAAGTTTTCCTTTTTTAATCTTTTCCACAAACTCATTAGTTTATCATTTATTTATCTTGCGTTCTACATTTTATTATTCGTGGCTTCTCTTTTCTGTAGTCATGCAATTGAGCAAATAAAAACCAATTATACATGCGAAAACCGAATGAAGATTATTAAAAACTCTTACTAATAATTAAATCAATGATAATAATAATAATAATTAATAGTGCCTAGGGTCAAGGAAATTGAGTGGTACATGCACAAATCTATTCTCTCACAGAAAAAACTCTCCGGTCTGTTTTGTGTAAGCTTAAAATTGTAAAATAACAATGATTCATATTAGATATTACAGTAATATGTAACATGAGTGAATGCAAAACTCTCGGAAATTAAGGAAAAATCATGAAATTGCATACATTAACAATCCACATTGTAAGAATAAAAGAAAAAAAAATGAATAAAAATTGCGAAAAAAGAAGAAAATAAAATGGAAGACGAGTGATAGCGCTCAAAAATAGCACTCTATAAGTATTTCATTGGTTGTTTCTAATTCGGCTTATTGAATTGAGGCCACGGATTCTTGAATGCGGCATCTCGGGCTCTTTCCTTCATTAATCTTGCTTGCTCTTCAATTTCTTGTTTTTGTTTCACAAAGGAAAAGTCTATGAAAATGCTGGAAAAAGGAGAAATAGGAAAGAAATAACAACTTTTGTTATTGAGTTTTTTTTTTTTAGACCGTGAGAGCTATTCTTTTCTCAATTCTGATGAATTAGCATAATTAAATTCTACTTTTATTATTTGCATCACTTCAAACGCTATAAACTGCCAACAACATTCAGTAGCATTTTTATTCATTAATAAAAAATTTTAAAAACTGAATAATATGGAATAACGTAATGATTAATTGTTGCTAAACGTGAGCTTTTCACTATGCGCATCAAATAGCAGTCAGTTCTACGACACTCGGCAGCTATTTGTAATTATTTTTGTTTATTTTCAAGTGTGCTCTAGACAGAATTGTTGAAAGCGTCGTTGGTGAATTATTTCTATATATACTTACGGGATAGCTGTGGTCTGACACTTGATAGTGTCTGCGATATTTTGTTCAGAGTACAGCCCAATCGGTGAATTGAATTGCTTATGGACAACCTGGAGAGATAAAAATCCATTTTGTATGTTCGACAATGAGCCAACCAAAATTTAATAGGCAATGTTTCTTCACGCACGAAATTGTGACCCATCTTGAGAATAAGATATTAACAGCTGAATTTGTGCAGCATTTTTGTGGGTAAGTTTTATTAATGATATTATCTTCATGAGAAAAGCATACAAATTAATACAATGGCTTCAGTAGACGTGAAACGTTTCTCTCTTTCTTGAACAAAAAAAAAAAAAAATAGTAAGATACAAAAAGAAATCAATAAAGCGATGAAGCTCCATTTCATTATATTGTTAAAATCCCCAATGAAATTTAATGTATCTATAAATTTCATCATATGCTCTCTTTTGAAGCGTTTTCAAAGCAATTCACTTATAAATAAATTCGAACCTTCGGAACTTCATTCGGACCCAACACACGCTGCAGAACTGATTCCGCCACCTGCTCGTTTATGTACAGATATTTATATATAGAAATAAATATGCATATAAGAAATACGTTATTATGAAGTAATTTTCAGCTATATAGCCATAATTATTTAAATAGATGGGCGAATGAAGAATTATACGAAGAAATTATGCTCTCTTTTCATCATCCTGGGCTTTTAGTTGAACAGTGAATGATGCGTAGTACTGATACTTGAGGCTGTAACTACCTACTTTTTGCTTCATTGCCACTTCGGGGTTGGCCACTTCATAATGGTGAGGAGCAGCTCTTATCATTGGATTCGGATGATGACGAAGATAACACTCGCCTAGTGGAGCATCTTTTTTGACCTTAGCACCCGGCAGGACCAAAGGCGTTGTACGATAGGGCTGCAACAACATGCCAATTTGCCATATATACTAATTCGCATAGAAAATTTCCAATTCTTTTTACAATTCCTCAAAGTCGAGTTGAGAAAGAAGTTCTAGAGGGGAACAATTTGGCAAGGTCGATTGTTGACGGTTATATCATACGATGGTGACGAAAGTTGTTTTCCCACATTTATAAAGTGCTATGTAAAATTGTTTTATTTTCGAATTTTCTACGTTACACACACACACACACACACACGTATGTATGTATTATTATGAAATGTTCTTCTGTCCACTAGTAAATGGATACTAGATTTTTTTTTCTTTTTCATTCATGTATTACAAATAGGTCAGATACATGGTAATGTTGCAGGATACATGAAAGCGAAGAAACAGGGATACCCAAAATAGCCGAAGGCCCTCTCAGCTAGCAAAAATATCGCACACCTCTGTCGCTCTCGTGTCTTACCAATATACAGCGGAGGGAGGAGAGAAAAAAAAGAAAAATATTATAGTCAATTTTTTCGGCTAAAATATGATGATTGTCATTGAAAGAAAACATGATGATAGTTGTGCACGTTTTCGGCTCAGTTTCCACGAATTTAAGGATGAAAAAAATTTAATAGCAAAACAAGGATCGATAAAACCGTTATTTTTTTTTACATCGGCATGAAAAATTTTTAATAAATTGTGTCAAAGTTTTCTGTCGCAATGTGCAGTTAAAATTATTATGCGCCCATTCATTCAGTTACACTAGACATACGACGAGATGATCTTGACTTTCTCTATATAATTAGAATTCCCCAAATTCCAATTCCACAGTGAGAATAGAAAAGGAGAAAATACACGGTTTGTGCTATGCATGTAGGTCTATTAATATAAATGTATATGTTGTCCGTTTAAAAATCATCACGAAAGATGAAATACGATTAGCGGAGTCATGTTTGTATTGGGGCGTAAAAAAAATAAATGCCTAACAAAGTTGTCTTGAAAGATCTGATTGAGGTCTACTAGAGATACTACTAGTTGGCAGCTCTATCAAGAAATCTGATCCTCAAGTGCATCAATTAGAAAATAATTTCAACATTTATAATTTACCCAGTAAACTGCGGCCTCTTCCTCTTTGGGTTGACGTTCGATGGGATACCGATAGGTTGTCGTATAACCTGGCATTATTATCACTTATTCCTACCTTTTATCTTTTATACGTTTCTATTTGATTTTTCTCGCAAGAGAGAGAGAGATTGTTGGAATATTTTTTCGTCTTTTTTTTCTCGTTCCCGATAGTGCGTTAGTCGATTGGAGTGATTCAAACGCACTGACTCGCAGCGCGGGTGGCACTAAACTCTGGTTTTTCCAAAGTGTAGCTTCTGCGCGAACACGTCTGGCGTGTATTTTGCTGCGAGTATATATGCTATTATTTGGAAAAACCTCAATTATTTTTCACAGGACTTTCTGATAGAGTTGGTCGCTGGTAATGTCAATAGAATAATACCAACTGAAATATGAACCAATGAATTTATGAAACTTCCAGAAAACTGGTATAATTAGTTATAATGATGCTTTTTTTTTCATTTTTTCAACATTTTTTTTTCTCCTTCACGAATACGTTTCATTTTATAGCGTTTTACAGAGACAAATAAAAATTTTATGCATGAGAATTGTGTTCGTATTGCATTCAGCGAAAATAGCCAATGGTTCGGTTCTAAATTAAGATTTCAAGCCCAGCTTTAGTGCTCTCACTTGGCTATCTGGTATAATACGCAATTTTTAAACCGTGCTAAGTAGTTTAATCATTAAAATATCAATGCGATTACTGTTGCTCGTAGAACGAACAATTGAATGTCCTCACGAATTTCCCCAAATGCTCATTTGTCATTTGTGTGTGTTTTACATATGTTTATAATTTTTGCTGAAAAATTCTACTCGAGTAGTTGATATTTTCATTACCTGCGACAAATAGAATCGTTCCTCACGCACTTCTTCCAGATGTTCACGAGGTGGATCGAAGTGATCAGGAGAGAAAGCTTTATACTCTCGGGCCGAAATTAACGGTGGTACTGGACTCTTTGGCAGAAACTTTGGTTGTGACAACTTTGGCCTATTCATAATAAATATTTCAATTAGCAGGGTATAATTATTACAGGAAAAGTTTCATCTTGTTATTTGAAACAAAATAAAACAAGAGCAATAATGTATCGTAGAAAGTGCTGAAGCCCAACATGGCAGATAAACCAAAGGCCTTTTAACTTCATGTTTATCTGTTTCACTGACTGATTATATCTGAAGCAGTTAATCTATCTTTTAGTAATAGCTATCATGATATTATTGTTATTATTTTTTAAAAAATTAGTTGGTTGGCTGGCATTGAAAAATTTCACTATACTATCAGCGAAATTTCAATCACAATGAAAATAATATCATAATCTAACAGCCTAATGAATGGCGCCTCCAAGTTGGTCAAATTTCTAATGGATTGTTTTGATGATGAAATAATGAATCGATGGCTCAGACCTTTCAACGACTAGTTTTACAGACTCTGAATTTTGTAGTAAATTTTGGGCGTCCACGTGCCTCACATCGCGAGAATCATATTCATCAATTTTCTTGATCACGTCACCCTTCTGCAACTCGTCGTTTTCAGACTACAACAGAAAATAGGGATAATAATGTGTTATTGATGGTATTTCCCTTCTTTCACGTGTTTCTTCTTATTACTCATTTTTTATAATCAACAACTGTTTGACAGAAAAAGAAGGGGGGAAAAAGGACAAAGGGAATTGAAAATCTCTCTCAAAACTCACGTGAGTGACGATGATCGGAGTTCCCAAATCTGTACCGCCAGCTATACGGAAACCCCACGGCCGACCCTGATGCCTTCGCAATTTTAAGACCAATGTTTGCTTGTTCGTCATGCTCTCAAAACCTTGATCTTGTTATCTGTCTTATAATTATGTTTTTTTTTTCTTCTCAACAATTCAATTTTTCAAAATCAACAACACACACAATAACACAAAAATGAATGTCAATGTAACGCTGGTACGAATAAAAACATATCGTAGAGAATAGTGGCAAGAGTTGGTGAATTTGGCTGGACCTACACTAACGTTAGCTGTCGTGCGGCAACTAGTCGCTTTGTATTCTTACAACATTTGACCGTACCTACATAGAGCAAATTTGAACAGGCGAGTTATAACAAGTTGGTACTTGAACGTGAACGACGTGTTGGCCAATGCATTGATTCTGGCCCCATTACGCCACATACGCCATCAATAACAAACAGTACAGATTTATAAGTCTTATCATCGAATCAGATTACTTTTATTTCCAACTGTTGAACCACCCAACCAACCAACCAACCAACCCACGGTATTTATAATGCAGAAAGCCCAAGAAATAAGTCTTGTCTGTGATAAAAAGCATCGACATCAAGTATTCCTTTATAGATCTACATGACAATTTCAAATTCCCGCTCATCCCGGGGCAACACACCACAAATATCACTAAATTATTTGAATTTTTCCCGGCAAATAATATACCTACTCTCTCCCTCTAATTAATAATTATAAAAATAATCGCTCAACTTTTTAATGCAAAAACGGATCACTCTTGATAACAACAATTTATCATACTTACATATGTTTCGTAGTAATTTCCAATGGAAAACTTGAGGGACGTTCGATTGCGCGTTTTGCTGCTTTCCATTCTAATATATATTAATTATAAAATTATAATAATAAAAATCACTACTAGATCCTATATATCTCCAAGATCCAATTACCGTGACGGTTGGTCGATTAATGAGTATTTAGTTTAGATGAAACAAAGAATGACAGAGAGCGAGACAAAGCTCGTTTTAAGTGAGTGTACAATAGACTCATTTCAGGGATGTCGATGTATTTCGACACCTTAAATTAGCAACCTATAGCGCTAAAGGTTAATCAATCTGTTGTCTGTTGAAGAAAAACTAGTTGCTCTAGTGACTCATTTCTTTCGATTGAGCATCATCAATTGTATTTGTCAATGTACTAAATATTATTCCATTAATATTGGAATATTCAAATAACAATTTCATATACATTAATATATATAAAAAAATCAAACATCATTATAATGTAATTTTCTCACGAGTATTCTTCTGTTATTGCTCTTGAAATGACCATTCGTCGAATTTCACTTGTACCAGCTCCAATTTCATAAAGTTTAGCGTCCCTCAAAAGTCGACCACTGGGATAATCATTGATGTATCCATTTCCACCTTGAGAAGCAGAAAGGTGAAGGGGATATAGTAGGTACAATGAATCATTCAACAATTAATATCCATTTTATATACCTAGGATTTGAATAGTATCTAAAGCCACTTTGGTTGCATTTTCCGCACAATAGAGAATTACCGCAGCGCAGTCCTTCCGATTGACGTGTCCAGCATCGCAAGCTCTCGCTACAGCATATAGATAACTTCTGTTGGCGCTTAACTTTGTATACATGTCTGCGATTTTACCCTGAATCATTTGGAATTCAGCGAGTCTAGTGTTAAATTGTTTCCTAGTGTGAGCATACTCAAAAGCGAGATCGCAACAGGCTTGTAGAATTCTGAAATATATTTTTCAATCACTATTTCGACAATCATTATTTTGGGTAGAATGATGAAGAATAATCACCCGAGAGGTCCACCAGCCAGTATTAATCTTTCCAAATCTAAACCGCTGAATAAAACGTAAATGCCTTTGTCCAATTGACCAAGTATATTTTCATCTGAAATATGTTATTAAAATTGTAATCATAGTAAAATGAAAGTATGAAAGTATATCAATTATTCCCGGACCCATATACTTACTGGGCACTTTACAATTATCAAATATTAATTCGCTGGTGTTGGAGCCACGCATACCAAGTTTATCCAACTTGAGGCCACTGCTGAATCCTTCCATATCTCTTTCAATAATAAATGCTGTGATACCGTGTTGTGGCTTGGCGCTCTGTGGATTTGTTCGAGCATAAACGATAAGTACATCTGCATCAGGGCCATTGGTTATCCAAAATTTGTTACCATTAACAACATAGTAGTCATCTTTTTTTTCAGCACATAATTTCATTGATACTACGTCTGAGCCTGAACTTGCCTCGGACATTGCCAATGCTCCAATGTATTCACCACTACATAGCTAATGAGCCAAATTAAAAATCAATTGTTGAATTAAATTCTATTTTCATAATATATATAGATACAATGGATTGAAAAAAATACCTTTGGCAAGTATTTGCGTTTCTGTTTCTCCGTTCCATTTCTATGTATTTGATTGAGACATAAATTTGAGTGTGCACCATAGCTGAGAGCTATTGAGGCCGAGGCACGGCTCAATTCTTCCATTATTATTATATGATCCAGATATGAGCCATCAGTGCCACCGTAGGTCGATTGTGCTGTAATTCCATGGAAACCCATTTCGCCCAATTTTCTCCAAAATTTCTGCAAAACATTGCCATTATTATAATAGTGCTAGTGCATCAGTATGGGCTGTAAACTATTTGTCCACACATCTCACCCGCAAATCATCAAATTTATTTTGCTTGTCAATTTCAGCAGCTCTGGGTGCCAACTCTTTCTGAGCGAAATCAAAGCATATCGAACGAAGCTGCAAAACCAAATGTACATAGTTTTTATTATTACTATGTTATTATAATCTCGAGCGATATTATCTCCAATAGCGCTCACCTGCTTCTGCTCCTCAGATAACCCATAGAGATTCTCATCAATTGGATAGTATTGAGATACATTTCTAATAATATTACAGCATCGTATTTTATCAGCGTTAAGCAAGTGAGAAAGACTATTGGGCTTCAAACAAGCTCGCAATATTCTCCAACTCATGGTGTGTTAAAAAATACCTATTCCGATGCGAGCAGGGGATTAACGAATTAATTTATTCAATATCGGTCAACGACCGAACAGTAATGCAGAGAGTCACCAATACATATAGAATCAAATAATGGAACTTGTTTGCCTCCCGATCATTCTTTTTATCTTATCAAAAGAAGGTCAACTTTCCACATATGTATATCAATATCATCATTATTACACATTATTATTTGTTTCAATATTATTCATACTTATTCGCATTGATTGCAAAATAGCTTAATTATATATATATATATGATTATTCAATTTTGGTATATAAATTGATAAAAGTGTTGTTTTCAACGCGTTCTTGAAATATTTGAATTAAATAGATATTCAAAATTCAGCCTACATTATATGTGTGTGTGGTGTATGTGTACATCTTTGAAGTATGCCAATGATGTGAAGTTGCTTCGTTCAAAGAGATATATTATTTTAACCTTGATTTTGCTCTGGCCTACTATATATATTAATATAGAGCCGCGCCGTCCGCGTCACACATGTAACCCATAACATAATAATGGCAATGAGCAAGTGAAATGATGAAAATTTGTCTTAATAGTGATTGAATATCGTTATCATATAACGATATAAGAAGAGTTGTTAAAATGGGTGGCTTCAGGATGAAAGGCCTGGAAGATGTGAAAATTGAAAAATCCAATCGTATTGCTAAGCAGATTCAGGTAGGTTATGCCGCCTGTCATTGATATCGTTAATGTCCTTCATGCTATTATAATAATCACAATCATCATATTACTCATTTCTCCAGGATAAATGGAAATTGGTTCCAGCTTTTCTCAAGGGCAAGGGCTTGGTTAAACAGCACATCGATTCATTCAATTATTTTATCAATGTTGAGATAAAGAAGATTGTCAAGGCCAATCAGATTGTCCGCTGTGACAACGATTCATTATTTTATATAAAGTAAGGATAATGCAAACAATCAATGTATATATTGTGTATTCATTCATTAATGATACTACAATTATAGAGAAAATTATAATTTTCAGATATTTGAATGTATATGTCAGTTCTCCGGATATCGAGGAGGGAGCAGACATGAGCCGACCAACTACACCACATGAATGTCGTTTGAGAGATTTGACTTACTCAGCCCCAATTATTGTAGATATAGAATATCTAAGGGGACAGCAACCAATTATAAAGAATAACGTGGTTATTGGAAGGTGAGACATTGGGGCGGTTGTAATATTTGTTGTTCATTTTCTTTCATTTAAAAAAAAAAAAAAAAAAAATTTCCTCTACTTTCAGAATGCCCATAATGTTGAGAAGTTCAAATTGTGTATTGACAGACAAATCTCATTTTGAATTGGCAAAGATGAATGAATGTCCACATGATCCCGGTGGTTATTTTGTTGTTAATGGCCAGGAGAAGGTGATAATTATTCAAGAGCAAATGTTGAAGAATAGAATTATTTTGGAGCAAGACAATAAAGGCTGTGTCGTGGCATCCTGCAACAGTTCAACTCATGAGAGGAAAACAAAGACAAATGTTGTTGGTAAAGGTGGAAAATACTACATGAGACACAACATATTTCAAGATGATATACCAGTGACTATAATTTTCAAAGCAATGGGAATAGTTTCTGATCAAGAGATAATGCAGCTGATTGGTACTGAAGACGAATATATGAAGAAATTGGGATCAAGTTTAGAAGAATGCCATACACTTGAAATATTTACTCAACATCAAGCCTTGAAATATCTGAGCAATAAACGAAAGCAGAAGAGATACTTTTCATCATCAGTTAAAAGTAATGTAGCTGATGAAATGAAGGATTTATTGGCTCAGAATATTTTATCACACGTACCAGTTATGGATTTTAATTTCAAAATGAAAGCAACATATCTGGCATTGATGATACGACGTGTAATGAGAGCACAGTATGATGGAAATTTGGTTGATGATCGTGATTATTATGGTAATAAACGATTGGAATTGGCTGGCTCTCTTTTGGCTCTTATGTTTGAGGATGCATTTAAAAGATACAACTTTGAGCTCAAACAAATTGCCGATAAGAATATACCAAAAACAAAGGCTGCCCAATTTGATGTTGTTAAACACATGACAAAAGATACAATTACAAGAGGCCTTACATTTGCAATATCCTCTGGTAATTGGACAATTAAGAGATTTAAAATGGAACGTCATGGAGTAACTCAGGTATTATCAAGACTATCCTACATTTCAGCCTTGGGTATGATGACTAGAGTTAATTCCCAATTTGAAAAGACTCGCAAAGTCTCTGGTCCAAGATCCCTTCAACCATCCCAATGGGGTATGCTGTGTCCCAGTGATACACCTGAGGGAGAGGGCTGTGGTCTTGTTAAAAATTTGGCCCTTATGACTCATATAACAACAGAAGTCGAACAGGAGCCAATAATAAGATTATGCTTCAATTTGGGAGTTGAAAATGTTAATATATTGGGTGGTGAAGAGATCAATCACAAAGATGTGTATATGGTATTTTTGAATGGTAATATTCTTGGTGTGATTAACAATTATAAACGACTCGTCACTGTATTCAGAATGCTGAGAAGAAGAGGTTTAATCAATGGTTTTGTCTCAATATATACTCAGCATCAACACAAATCAATTCAAATAAGTTGTGATGGTGGCCGATTATGTAGACCCTATATCATTGTTAAAAATTGTCAGCCTCTCATACAAGATGAACATATGAAGATTCTACAGCAGGGTGTCAAATCCTTTGAGGACTTGATTCAGGAGGGCTTAATTGAATATCTCGACGTTAATGAAGAGAATGACAGTTTTATAGCATTTAATGAGTCACACATTAATCATAAAACAACTCATTTAGAAATTGAGCCATTCACATTGCTTGGAGTATGTGCTGGTCTTGTTCCATATCCTCATCACAATCAGAGTCCAAGAAATACCTATCAGTGTGCCATGGGTAAACAGGCAATGGGTACCATTGGCTATAATCAGCGAAATCGAATTGATACTCTTATGTATAATTTGGTTTATCCACAAGCACCTATGGTCAAATCACGAACAATTGAGCTGATTAATTTTGATAAACTTCCAGCTGGACAAAATGCTATTGTTGCTGTAATGTCTTACAGTGGTTATGATATTGAAGATGCATTGATATTGAATAAAGCATCTATTGATCGAGGCTACGGTAGATGCCTTGTTTACAGAAATGCCAAGACTACATTGAAGAAATATGCCAATCAAACATTTGATAAAATTATGGGCCCTCTTATCGATGCTAATACGAAAAAACCCATTTATAAACACGATATTCTTGATTCTGATGGAATTGCCATGCCAGGGGAAATGGTTGAAAATAGAAAAGTTATGGTTAACAAGTCATCACCCACTATTACCCATCAAAATCCAGTTAATCAAGTTGTTGGCCAGGGTTCAGTTGAATATCGAGAAGTACCTGTTGTTTACAAAGGACCTGTACCATCGTACATTGAAAAAGTCATGATATCATCAAATTACGCTGACGATTCTTTTCTCATTAAATTACTACTGAGACAAACACGGAGACCGGAAATAGGTGATAAATTCAGTAGTCGTCATGGACAAAAAGGTGTCACTGGCCTTATTGTTGAACAAGAAGATATGCCATTCAATGATTCTGGTATTTGTCCTGATATGATTATGAATCCACATGGCTTTCCCTCGAGAATGACTGTTGGAAAATTAATTGAACTTTTGGCTGGAAAAGCTGGCCTGATGAAAGGACAATTTCATTATGGTACAGCTTTTGGTGGCTCTAAAGTCAGTGATGTTTGTGAAGAGCTCGTTCGATATGGTTACAATTATCTTGGTAAAGATATTTTTTATTCTGGAATCACTGGTGAACCACTGCAAGCATACATTTACTCAGGCCCGGTCTACTATCAAAAACTCAAGCACATGGTTCAAGATAAAATGCACGCTCGATCTAGAGGTCCAAGAGCTGTATTAACACGTCAACCCACTGAAGGAAGATCCAAGGAAGGAGGTCTTCGTCTCGGAGAAATGGAGAGAGATTGTCTCATTGGTTATGGTGCCAGTATGATGCTTGTTGAACGATTAATGATATCGAGTGATGCCTTTGATGTTGATGTTTGCAATAAATGTGGATTGATGGCATATAGTGGTTGGTGCCATAGTTGTCGATCAAGTGGTTGTGTCTCGACAATAACAATGCCTTATGCATGTAAATTATTGTTTCAAGAACTCCAATCTATGAACATTGTCCCGAGATTGACATTGAAAAATTATTGTGATTGAATATTGTGCTATTTTCAATAATGACATATTGTAATATTGATGATACTTTGATATCATTTTCAAAATCACTTGTCTCAATTTTTATATGCCGCGTAAAAATCAATTCCCTATAACAATTCACTAGGCGAGAGAGGTAATGCTGGTGGCAGCACGTACAATCATCTCTCTCTCTCTCTCTCTCTCCATCTCTCTCCCCACACACAACACACACACACACACACACACACCACTGTCACACTCTCTCCTCCTCTCTGTCCTGTTCTGTCCTCTCAGCTCTCAACTTTCGTGTGACGAGTTCATATACTTGTTGGTCACTACCAATAACTACAAAAACAAACGCCAAAATTTTTTTGTGCTTCCTTTTCTCCCACTAATGAAAAGTTTCGAAAAAAAAAAAAAAATAATGTAGAGCCTCTTTGTTTTTATTAGTTAGTCAAATAAAAGTGCATTCGAGTGTTGTGTGTTGCGTTGTGGATCCCTTGAGAATATAATCCTCCTCCATTAAGTTTTTCCACACTTTCGCAACTGATGCGACTAATACTCGCAATAATAAAATTGTTTTCGTCTCATTGTGACAAAATAATTGTATAATTTACACTTCTCTTGGCACTAAACAAATAAATATAATTAAGAAGAACGAGACTCGGCGAAGAATCGAGTAATTTTAGTGAAGAATGAGTTCGAATAACGCCAGAGCATTGTTTGCTTGCTCCAGGTGTTTTTCAAGGCATCCTTTCGAGGAATTATCACCGGGACAGCAACTTTGTAAGGTAAAGTAATAGAGATATTTCACCTATTTCCATGTTCAAAATGTGTGCTTTTACGGCAAAAAAAAGAAACTCAATATTGGCATTTAGTGTATTTTCACATGTTCTTGTATCCAAGCGTTGTTGGTGAACCAAACCCTAGTAGTCCAATAAAAGTGAAATATTTATTGCCATATCACTACTATATTATTCTTTCAGGAATGCCGTGGCTCATTTCCCGTGGTCAAGTGTACGTACTGTCGGTCAGAGTTTCAACAGGCAATGTAAGAGTAATGTATAATTTTATTATTCATTATCAGTAAAAAGTGATAATTATTTCAATTTCTATGTCTTAATATTTTATGGAAACTAATGAATTTCAGTAAGGGTAATACATGTACCATATGTAAAAAATGTGAGCAGAATGTCAAAGCTTATGGTAAACCGTCAGCTTGTGAGTACTGCAACACTATTGCAGCATTCATTGGTAGTAAATGTCAGCGTTGTACAAATTCGGAAAAACGTTATGGCCCTCCTGTCACATGTGAGCAATGCAAGCAAAAGTGTGCCTTTGATCGACAGGATGAAGATAAAAAGGTATAAACATTGACAGTATTGACTTTTTGTTTTATTGATTGATAATTGAATTCAAATTTTGTCCATTTTATTTAAAGGTTGATGGAAAATTACTCTGCTGGTTATGCACACTGTCCTATAAGCGTGCACTAGCTAAAACGAAACAGTCTGATGCAGATAGAAGAGCTCATTTGAAATTAGCACACGAACGAGCTGCTAAACACAAAGAGCAAAAGTAATTCAACAATGGATTTTTCAATTTGTCACTTTATCTCTTAAAACGTAGCTAGCTAATGATGCATTTATACATGGAAAATTTTGCAGATTGAAAGGACACAATAAACGACCCCATCGAATTGATGTTACAAAACTACCCCCTCAACCAGATCCGACAGAAGTCAGTTGTCCAGCACCCATGAAGGTTGCTCGAATGGTGGGTGCTCATGATCCACATGATCCAAATAGCTCCGACCATGTTGTTGCTGTGACTCAACTTAAAGAGAAAATTGCACATCTCCAGAAGCAATTATCGCAAAAGGATAGTCAACTATTAACCAAGGATAGACATGTAATTGTTGATGTGTTTTTTGTTTTTTCTTCTTTTTTTTGTTTCCTCATTCTACAGTGTAATAATAATTTTCAGATAACGGAATTGAAAGCGAAAAACTTTACTGCTGAAACCGAGTTGCGTAATAAAATGAAAGCAACAGAGAAAGAGTATGAGGCTAAGGTGTCTGGAATGCAACAAAAAATTTCGGGATTATTAAAGGAAGTTGCTACATTATCAAAAAGTAATAAACGTGGTGACAGACTTGCTGCAACTAAAAGTGAAACTGGAACCAATAGCGGTAGTGGAACAGACAGTCCTGTACCTTGATGCGGTTAGTGCACAAATAAATGGTGATGCATATACCTATATATGTATATGCATAATTGAAAATTCTCATTCCAGGGTTACTGATTAGCTGTGACGAGACGTTGAATATTGAATGTCAATACTCGAATTCACATGATCCACCAAATACATATAGAAAATGCTCTCCATTCAAATTATTATTATTATTATTATTATTATTATCTATTCCATTATTTTTCTCATTACGAATAAGCAATACGACTGAACCTCATACGTTTAACCTGAAAACATTATTTTCCAAATTTCTAAAAATTGCAAAATTCCTATCAACTCTTCAATTATGTTCAATTCATTCAATATCAACGACACAATGATTAAATGAAATGAAAAAATTAAGAGGGTAATAATGAATAATGATGAAAATGATGATAAGAGTATAAGAATGATTTTTAAAAAAACAAAAAAACTGTCTCCTCATTGAATTGAAGGTGAAAATTTTCTCCTTTGATTATATCACAATGTTTGTAGCTCTACAAATCCATAAATCTATTCTTCATTCAGCAGACAATTGTAATTGTAAATTCTTACTGATTTAAGTTTCTGAACCGACATGCCCTGCGAAGATGATTACTCATTTTGGTGAATTAATTTAAAGAAATTGTGCTGATTGTGCTGACTTACGAATATGGATGTTTGATTAGATTTGCAGTGAAATCTTGTGATCATGTAAATTTATATCTCTCGACAAATACAGAAAGTATTTTCACAAGAGTTCTCTTATTCCGGTTTTCTTAAAAATTTCATCATTACTGTATTTGTTGAATTGAAAAATATAAGCGGTTCATGGTTACACTCGTTTACTGTTTAATGATTAAATTTATCCTCTTAAAGACAAAAATTGATTCAATAAAAACATGCAGAAGGTAGCAAGAAACTGTCATTTAAATATCCAACAGCCATATATTTATTCTTTATTTTTAAGAAACAAATGCTAATTGAGCATTACCTATCCAGTAGTTATAATGATAATAAATGCATAACAATTTTTTTCATCTTCCTTTCATTCACAATTTAAGTTTTCTTATATGATTAATGAAGTTCAATTCAAGAGTTGTTCAGATACGCTAGTACGTATTTTATGCTTTGCGCGGTATTTATGAGTTCAAAATTAATGTTTTTATATTACTTTTTTTTTTGTTACGTTGCTTCCTTTCCTCATTCACTACTTTTAGCTTATTTACATTATTGTTCAATTTTTCTTCTACTACCTGCACATTTTTATCCTGTTTCATTTATTCACTTTTATGTATTAATCTATTTACTTTTTCTCAAATGTTTCTATTTAATTTTTGCTTCATTGAAAGTTATTGTACAAGTATATGACAAGTCAAATATGTCTGATGCAGGCAAGGCAGCGAATCAAGGCAATTTATCATATGATCTGTGTTATAATTGCGTCACGGTAATGCTTTCGGAGCAGCGATTGCTGCAGTAAATTTTTATCAATTCTACTATGATTTCAGTCAGATGAGGTGATTAAATTTCCATTGTTGAAATTACATGAAATTTCTTCATATGTGGCCGTGTACATGAGAAAGCCCGACTTTATCGATTTCATAATGTCAATAATAATGAGAAAAAACAAGTTAATATTAAAGCTGGGATCGATAAAAATAACCCTTTTCATACAATCAGCCACATATTTAGTTTCCATTCTTAAATTCACAATATTTAATTTCTCATTGTTTGTGAGAACGCTGAATTCCAAGAGTATTTCGAGCGACTAGAAAATTGTGCAAGCATTTATCGGACATGTTTTAAAATGCATTTTTAAAAGACAAATTTCCCCAATTTTGAGCTTCTAGTCCATATATTATCTATATGTAGCAATAAATCGATGATGCATTATCCATTTGACTGTATAAATGGTCCAAAATAATTTTACACTAGAGTATTCTTTATCAACGTAATTTTTAATTTCATGCTTTTTTTTTCACTGGCTCGAGCATTCCGTACATTATGCCTCACTGCTTTACGTTGCCTGTTCTACAGAATTTTTTTGAATATTTTTAATTCAGAGGGTGCATCACCATCAAATTCAATTGATTCAAGCCAAAAGACTAACAATGCCAAATAGAAATAAATATTCTTCTTAGTTGATGCTTTCCATTTAATAATATCCGGAAGAGATCCTCTGTATTGCATTTGCACCGTAATTACAATTCATATAACACTACATGTAACGTATGAGCTGAACAGTAGTGTAACTAATATCAGTCTGCGCCTTCAATTTTTTTTTCTGTTTTTTTTTTCTTTTTTTTTCACCCTGAATATAATCATAGAGCAGCGATTCTGATTCTTCTTCATCATATATGAGTACTAATATTCAATCAACTTTGATTCTTCTATTTATTGAACCGCCTATCCATGAAAATATTCATAATAATAAGTATCGGATTTGCAGCAGGCTGCCTCCGCATTAATACAATCTCAGATAGTCATAGGAATATCGTGATTTTTTTTCTTATTATAGTTGATGAAAATTAGCGATCAACATAAATAAAGTAATGAACCGTAATGATGATGAAATGGAAGTCTTTTCCCATAAAAATGAGATAAGGAAAAGTTCACTGCTAAAAATACTGTTTGGTCTTCCTTGCTGGACAATTATCCCCCTAATCCCGCTTTATCAAGAGCAATGAATAATTATACAGTAATAAACATAATAATCACACCGTAGTTTACTGATCTCTTTGCACAAATAAATATTATAATTATCGTCGATTTACCCTATGCTCTGATTGCCCCCTTTCTTTCTATCCTAAATATTAAAAAAAAAGAAAAAAAAGTTGAATAAGATAGCATAATTTCATCTTTGAAAGAATATAAGCCTGCGAAGGTAGCCTACCGCTTGGCCAATCGACGATATAAATTTTTATCTGTTTAATATTGTTTCACCTAATCGAATAATCATTATATTATTAATAATATATACAGGTACAGGTCTCGTATAGTTGCAGTCTGGGTGTCGACATTGATTACAATCCCATATTTTTCCCATTTTCTTGAAATTTCGTTTCTATATCATTATATTACAAGAGATTACTGTCATTCACCACATTATTTGACGGATGTCGACACTTGCCGTCATTTGAATCAAAAACGTTTTCTTTTTTTTTCTGTCTCCTCTTCTCGTCTCTTTCCATCCCTCGTGATATACTTCGGAGAGAGGAATCGAATAGTCTCTCATTTAGCATGAGTTTGAAATGGAAAATTTTGTACCTTTGGAAATGAAAATCTTTTGAGAAAGTATTGGTGTTTCATTAGAGGTACACTTAATCAGCCTTATTTAACGTCTCTGTTAGGTGCACTCGATAATGTGTGGCTGGGAGGTTTCTATTACAGTCGGTCTCCCCACAGGATTCTCCAAGTTGTGCAAGGATGTAGGGTGTGAATTAACGGCGTTGTGTCTCTCATAACTCTCTATTTTATCAAGTTCACATTCTTTCTGCATATTACCTAGAAAATCCATCAAATTGAAAATTACAAATATATGCTAATATGACTTTTCAATTGACAATATAACAAAGAGTAGCCGACGAATTGAAACTTACCTACATTCATCTCCAAATTATGAAGGGCTGTTGAATGTGATCCATTTCTTCTGTCATAGTTTTCCATCGTTTCAAGTTCACACTCTTTTGACATATTAGCTATTGAAAACAACAATAAAAAAGGCAAGTGAGCCAAGTGAGTGTGAAAATATAATCCTCATGAAGGCAAAAATGGATGGTAAAATTCATACGATCCCTTACCAACACTAATTTCATGACTGTACTCATAGTAGGTTGGTGAGCCAACAGCAGCAGCAAGGGCAAGTTCATCTTCAATATTATTTGGCCTGCAACTTGTTGTCTTCCAGTGCGTTCTCAGTCCACTTGCACTGATATACTTCTTATCACAACCTTGACAGGTGTAGGGCCTCTCATTCGTATGTAGCCGTTTATGCAATTTGAGATGCACAAATTGCGTGAATTTAGCAGGACAAAGATCACATGCATAGGGTTTTTGTCCCGAATGTAGACGAAGATGTGTTTTCAAATTCGATGTTGAACTGAATCGCTTTTTACAAATTTCACATTGATGCGGTTTCTCCCCTAGTAAAATGGCATAAATAGTAATTATATGGAAAATAAAGGTTGAGAAAATGGCTAATCGAGTGATACAAAAAAAAAAAAATCAATAAATAAATAAACATAAAATTACCTGTATGTACAAGATGATGCTTTTGAAGATGTGCAAGTTGAGTGAAACTTTTTGTACAAACATTGCATTTAAAGGGTCTTTCACCCGAGTGAGTACGTAAATGTACTTTGAGATTGGATAATTGGCCAAATGTTTTGCAGCATACATTACACTCGTAGTGCATTTTTCCATCCTTCTTTTTGAGCGGATACGGTAAAGATCTATAGCCCCTTGAGCCCTGGGAATTTGGACTGAGTGAGCCACTTTGAGAACAGCCATGATCATCCGGTGACAGTGAACTTGCTGGGGAATATCTATTTGTTGAATTCGGATGGATGCTCAAAGAATGATGATGATGACTGAGGTGAAGATTCCGTGTACCACTGATAATAGTGGAATGATTATCATCAATTTGCATTGTCGAAGAAGTTGGAAGTTGATGGCCGTTGGTTTCATGTCTTCTATTATCATTTCTCTCGTAGACGCTCGTGACACTGGCCGAGGGTGTTGGTGAATATGGAGCGCAATTGATTGTGAGTGGTGCAATATGTTGATGCAAATTAGCATTTTGATGATAAATATTGTAGGGATAAGCGGAGGGAGAATTAAGGGGCGATATTGATGTAACACTTGGTGGTGTATTGGCTGAATTCAACTGATAACTTGTGCTTGATTCAATATGCGCTGATGAGCATGCACTGTGTTGTTGTTGTTGTTGTTGTTGTTGTTGTTGTGAGTACATGATTGTCGAAGCTGTTGATTGTTGTTCTTCGTCTGCTTCTGTTGAGGCCACCGTCAATGATGATACATTTGTTGAAGTTGTTGTAGTTGTAGGTGAGGGACTTTGAGTTTTTCTTGATTTACAAATATTTATCGTCGATGGATGAAGGCCACTGGTGGTTGATGTCAGAACTGTACTTGAATGAATCGAGTCCCCATTTTCATTTGGTGAATGAACCAATTGATTAGTTAAATTACAGGAATGGCCAATGCCACCTGTACTCGAATGAAGATTACCACCGGGGCTCTGAATCATCGATACATTGTTTGTTGAACTATTGGCACTACTGCAGCTATCAACTTGCATTGGTAAATTTGAACTTGAATCTGGACTACAGGGAAGAATATTTCCATATCTGTGAGATTTCTTGTAAGAATACGCCATTTCCGTGGGACTAGAGGGTGGTGGGCTAATCGAATCTATATGACTTCTATTATGATGATGACTCTCGCCAGAACCACTGTGAGCATAATTATTATTATTGCTCGTATTATTATTACTATCTGTATTATGTCGCAAAAGTATGTTTTCTAATATGGAACTATTTGGACTTGTTACATAAGGCGGCCGTGTAGCTGCCGTCGTCGTATTCGTCGTCGTTGATATTGTATTATTACTATTATTATTATTATTATTATTATTATTATTACTACTACTATTACTATTATTATTAATAATATTATTATTATTGTTGTTGTTGTTGTTGTTGTTGTTGTTATTAGTATGTGTTTGGATTGGATTAATTTTCACTTCAGATTCATAAAAAACTTTTGGTCTTTCACTCTCATCATCCGTTGAACTCAATATTATAGCTACTTTCTGCGGTAGATCAGGCGTTAATGTCCTATTAGCCATTTCTTCCTTGATATCCATACTTTTGTTATTCGATTGGAAATTATTGTACGTCTTATTTATTTTTATTTTCACTTTTCTGTATTCATTTTTCACCAATGCACTGTCTGGTTTTGTCATTTCCGTTGTCGCGTTTGATGTGCGCGTATTTTTACTAAAGTCAAGGACATAATTATTTTCCGAATCGGATTCGCTGCTCTCCTCTGGTGGTGTTAAAATTTCATCGTGGTATCCATTTGAATGGTAACCCTCATCCGATCTAACGGAGCCTTCTGTTGGCGTCAATTGACATCGCCTCTCATAAATTGGTGAATCTTTTGAGGGTAAAACAATTTCTCCCGATGATGGAATTTCGCTCGGCAAACTGGATTGCTGCACCTGATTTGCAAATAAAAATCAATAATAATGATTTATGTCGGTGTGTGTGTTTTTTTTCTTTTCAATTTTATTTTTCCGAAAAATTGTGATAATATCAAATACCTGTTGTCGTATTCTCTGCAACATCAATTCACCGGTTAAAGGGTAATTGAGCCTTTCCGCAAATTCACGACAGTACCAGACCAGAAGCTCTTGATTGGGGAGTATAGGCTTGATGGTGTAAAAATAAATGTTCATCTGAAAGATAATAACGAATTTGATTTTATTACAGTAATTATCAACATAATTAGTGAATATGTGATATCTTTCCTACCTTATATTGGCACGCAATGAGATTTTGCGATTCCGATGAATATGCCGGATTAACGTATCGCATCCAATTGGATTTTTGTATATCGTAGCCATCAATGAAATAGTACAATTCATTATTTTTGTAAACCTGCAAAGATGATGGGTCCACCAATGAATTTTTATGTCACAATTTTAGTTCTATATGAATATACAATAATTCATGGCATATCCATGGCAGATCCTCACCCTCCAGAAGTACTTCCGATTCGTTACATTAGCGGGTACAGAATCCTTAGTGTAAACTTGTCCTACGAGAGGCCCAAAGCGAGTACCTTTAGGAATGTAACTAGTACTCCAAACCCCCAAAGCCTAAGTTAAAGGAGATATGAAAATATTTGTATTTTATTTATAATAGTGGACGTTATACGAAAACGTTATTTGTCAGATTTCGGTTCAAATATATGTATAGCCGGAAAACCAACATCAGTAATAAAAAAAATATTCACGTACAGGATCAAGCGCCTGAGATGGCTTGAGGACGAGATTCCTAGGTAAGGAAGCCTCAGCCCTATTGGTGTCATTTGATGAAGTTGATACATCTGGTACCAAGTAGACCGCATGCTGGTCGAACTCTTCTTCCCGTAGGACTGTGTGATCCCATTCACCCGTCTCCATTTCTTCTTCAGTGTCCTGTGATGAAATGATCAAAATGCAAAAAATCCATCGATAAATCATTTTTTTTCTTCTACAAAAATGTAAAAAAAAATGAAATAATTTTGAAAATCAATTATATTCAGTTGATTGGATGAAATCAAAAAATGCAAAAGTGCAAATTTCGTCTTGACCCTCTATGTATATATAGGTATATTACATGCTTTAACAGTATACGAAAGTGAAACCCGTCCACGCATTGATCGACTGCAAATGGGGGAGGGAGAATGCAAGGGGGTGCAAGGAAGCCAGGAGACCGGGGGGGGGGAGTTAAAAGCGAAGGTTTAAACTTCAAATTCAATTTTCCAATGAGCTACTGCTAATAAAAATATTCCTCTCTAAAATATATTAAAAAAAAAAAAAAATTTAATCATCTCTTACATACTTATTATTGCACTCTGATGAAAATTTCGCTTTTTAAAAGTTGTACAGCAATGCCCCCTTGATTTATCTCCCTCTTATCACTATTTTTTATTATCTCACTCTTTGTCATGTATTTATGTAATTCTCGAGTTTTTCAGGGAAATTGTGACAATCATTTTTATAGAGCTCAGTCCCGAAGTTATATGATAAATAAATATAATGTGCCGAACTATTTGGAAATATGCTGTTCGAGATTCACTATTTTCTTTCAACATTTACGTATTTATATGCGGATGTCCGAAGGATAGATGGTTGCTCCAAACTTTCCTAGAGATAATTGTTTCTTAGCATTGGTTCACAAGTTTTTAAGAGTCCTTATCGATTATCAAGACATTGGGGACCCAATGAAGACTAGGGAAATACGTTTTATTTTTCAGCTCTATGTATTCCTTTTTACACTTGTTTTTCTATTTTTTTTACACTCTTCATCTCATCAGTCTGATTCACTTTCGATGTTTAATCGATGAAGAAAAAAGGTCGTGCCATTGTTTGTCCGAGACGTTGTTCTACAAGTTGGTTTAGATTATGACGATTAAAATAGTGATCATTATTATTGGTTTGTTATAATTTTTATTTATGTCATTGTTATTTTTATCGTGAATAATTTCATGTGTGGGTGTTGCCGTTGCGAATGCGAATTTTTTTTACTGAGTACATTGAACGAGGAAAACATTCATCCAAGATTTTTTGAGTTCCCTTTCTCTTTTTCTCTCGCGCATGTCCTTCGTACATTGATGTACACAAATACACTGCAACTGAGTAACAAAAAATGGTCCGACCGAAATGTCACAACTTAAAACTTTGAAATTTGGTTGTTTTTTTTTCTCCCGCAAATTCGTTTTTTTCTCGCATCCCCATATTTTATTAAATAATTAGCAATATTATTGTCACGCTACCAGTTCAATAAATAAATCTTATTAGCTACACGAGATTGTAATTTTTTTGAAAGAAATAAAAATAAAAATAAAAATAAAAGAATTACACAGAAGTGATGGATTTTTAAAACGCAATTTTATAAATTATTTCACTCGTTCTCTGATGAAATAAATATCTCGATGCCCGGGTGGTTCGATGAGAGGAGGGTTCGCGGGATGGCACAGTGTAAAACTCGGGTAGACCTGACCTAGCCCAACACGAGTCAGCTTGGCTCGACTACGTTGGTATTGGCCTGGTGGCGGCAGCATCGGATAACACGACACGCGTGTAAAGGTGGTGCATTTCTCTGCGCTGCGCTGCGCTTTCGATCGACCCGCTGCCAACGGCACCCTCCCATCCCACCCTTAACTGAGAGCTTGCTTCCACCCACCCACTCACTCACTCTATCCATATCCTTTCAGCTGCTCCTTGCAATTCGTCTACTTTATCTCTTCCTTCTTTTTTTTCTTTCAACTTTTCCTGTGGTTTTCATTTTTCCCCTCAATTGTTTATCCATCAATATACATCAATAATTTTCCGTAAACCGATATGTATGTAATTATCTCACCATCGTAATTATAAAATACATCAAATAATCATAATAATTGGTAGCTATATTGAATTAGTGCAATTTATACGTTATGGGAATGACGATAGTGATATTCACATCTTACTGTTCCTGTAATCCGCAGCAATCAAATATATAGTGACGCACTATTGTCGTGTATTTAGTATAAACAAATAGAAGATCAACATTGGCTATCTCGGTTGATGAACAAACCTGCGGTGAAGAATTTTCACGTGAATCGGCGACGACTACTAACCCAGATACGTTCACCATAGGTCATTGATCTTTTGCTGCCTTCTCAAAGTCATGGCTCTCTGCTGATTACGTATTAAAGTACTATTCTGTCAATTACTGTCGTTATCACGATTATAGCAGAATTATTTTTTTACAAACTTATTAGCAGTTGGAAAAAAATCAGAGAAATGGCAATGTTTCCTTTGGTTTTGTTTAAAGATCAGTTGCAAAATTTATCTATGGTCCTTATGATGACAAAAAAAATAAAGAAAAGAAATGTGGATCTAGTTTTGTGTATTCAGTAATTGGAAACATAGAACGTTTATGTGCCGAACCGGAAAGGAACAGCAAGCAAGTGAATTAGCAGAGGCAAATTCGCGATCCTTCTTTCTCCGTTCCTCCTCTCTTCTACCGGTTGTGGATTCGAAAGAAGCAGGTCTCTGCCGGTCATTGTCCTACATTTCGGTCTCTACCGAGTCTTACCGAGTCTTAGTTCTTAGTTCGTGAATTAGCGACAAAGTCTCCTTATGTCATTATTACTGATTAATTTTCATTCATTCAATTTCATGTATATATTCTGCCAATTTTCCGCACAAAGGCATTTACACTTGGAAATTTTTTCAACATTTACCATTTCGTCTATCAGGCCTTACTTCAAAAATTGAGGAAATTATACATCTGAGATGTTTCGAAATTCCGAGGTCTCATCCCTCAGCCATGAGAATGACTGTGATAATAATAAAAGACGATAAAAAATATTGTATCGTTACTTGAAGCTATTTTTCGGCTTCATTCTTATGTAGGTATTTGGTTTGTCATGTTTTTCTCCTTTTATCGGAAATTAAACTATACAATTGAGTTGCATACGCGTGGCATATCTATGGCTGCATATAACGCAAACCGTTATACCGCCAAGAATCCCGTTTGAAGCCAACCAATCGGAGGGGAAAGGAAAGCTGAAGGGGCAACAAGCATACGTTTCAACTCGATTGTATTAGTATATGGTCCCGGCCAAAAGTAAAACCGAATTCATTTTCGGTTTCGTAAGACCGCAAACTCACCACAGATCATCCAAATATTCATCTAACAATTATATGGGCAAATTTTTAATGTTGCCATGTCCTGGGATTTGAGAGTAGAAGAAAAAAACGGAATAATTCGGTGGTTTGTATGAGCTACAACGAAATTGATTTACCCTTGTTAAGAATAGTGTGAATTTAATCAATGTTCAAGGCATCACAGGATATAGCGCGTTCCGCGAGAATGAGTTTGTTGAACTCGCTTGTTCTCAACCCTTAGTTTCTTGTATATAATCGCCAATACCGATATATTATGTGTTAAAAATAAAGCGAGATGACTTTGGAACTGTCATTTTTATTTGTTATACAAGCGATTTGAATTTTAAACGCATTATGTCAATTTCCAAATGTATTTAAGTAGTTTTAGTCAACGACAAGTCGTGCCAATTATAGAGCCTAAACTCTTTTTTAGAATCCATTGAAATGAATGAGCTAAATGCCAAAACGTCGCTATATTATTTTACTATTTGATAGGGTCTTTGAACTCTCGACTCTCCGGCTCTGCATAACCCATTTTGTAATAGCCCACTTTGTTTAACCAGCACGGACCCACATACCAACAGTTCATTCTCCTTTTTCTCATGGATATAGTTCCCCATTATACCAACGGTAAATTATAATTGTCTCATTGATGGATCCTCTTTTGTCATTTATTTTTGAAAAATATAAAAACTTCCCATGTGTACGGACATTTATGCAAGTATAAACTGTATATTTCAAGTAGGAAGGAGAATTTTTACCGGTTGAGTTACCTCCTAGTGCATAGAATCAATAACACACTTTCTAACCTACTTAAAATCACTGCTTTGCCATTTTTCTTTCTCTTATACCCTCCTTCTCTCTCAGTGAAAAATTCTTCAAATCCAAAATATGAACTTCCATTTACCTCTTAATTGTTATTTTCAATATTAACTCGTGAATGATTAACGGGAATTCATAAATCCTTGATATTTCATAATGATTTCAATTGAATTTTTCAGGCTATATAGTTTATCAAAATAATTTTTAATTTTTAGAAAACAACATCAAAGTATGTAAATGGTTGTGAAAGAGATTGAATAATCATTCGTTGCTTCCGCGTTCTGCAGTAACGCTCAGAGACTTCAATGTCAATGCCAAAGTCGCCCTTTCACCTTATATAATCCATGTATACAAGTGCACTCGTACTGCTAGACTGAAATTTCATACGTACAACTCGTATTCAAATGCAACAATTTATTTACATAAATGTTTTTTCTCACGACAGACTCGATTTTTTTTCATATTCACCATTAAAAAAAAAAAAAAAATTTGTCGATAATTTCTTTATGCTAAGTGAGGTGAGCAAAATTTGATGAGATTGTAGGAAGGAAAAAAAAATTTCTATAAATTGTATGTAATGGTAAAGTAATGAACGACCCTCAATGGACAAGGTTGTGCTCATGAGTGTATTGAGTATATGAGCAGAGAAGGTGCCGGCGGAGAGGGAATATCATGGCTGACGGCTGGCCGTGACTTTACTCAATTCTTAGGGAGGCGGCCCTCGCGGCGCGGCGCGGCGCAACGCGGCAATGTAGAACGGTCATTGACCCGTTGGTCAATGGTTGGTCGGTCGGTCGCGTTCTATGTACTAATCACTACTTTTGCAATATCACCAATATGAGATGATAATTACTTGGCATCTTAAAAATTGATTTTTCTACTGTTTACGGACTTGCTCATATTCTTATCATTATTATATTTATCAGTACTCCCTCGTCAATTTTCATCTCATATAATTCAAGAAAAAAATAAATTGTAAAGATTCTTAGTGACGCCAAAATTACAGAATATGCGAGTGCCTAAATGACAAAAGTATTGAACATCGAGAATTGACGGTCATCATTACGGTAGCTCGTAATACTTTACGGTTTGCCTGTGTATATGTATATATATGAAACTCGTGCTGCACAGGCTTGGGTGTTAGCAGCGAGCCAGCATCACTCATAGGTTTCCGTAGTGTTCGCATGCTGGAATAGCCAGCCACCTTAGCCAGTCCTCCTGACAGTTTGCGGTACTTTTGCACTATCACTATGAGTATACATACTCTATCGAATCTAGGTCTAGCAGCTATATCTATATACTACTGCAGCTGCACATTATTAAAGTATATAATGCAGTTTTGATTAATTTTAATGGTAAAAATTTGATAAATTCAAGTAAATAAATAAGCTCTTCTATGACATTTCCCTTGTCGTCTATAGTATACAAAGTAAGTTGCGTACGTTGGGTATGATTTCAATTGGTATCATGCAGAGGTGCAATGACCGCTCCAATAAAATGACCCCCTCCCCCCCCCCCC